AGCTTTGGTTGCGCGTGCGGTGACGTTATCAGCCAGAAATCTCGCGATCGAGGCAGAGCCGCAGAGCCCATCTACTGTGAGGAGAACGAAGACGAAGAGAAGAGGCATACCAGAGGCGTACCAGAGGTTCAGGTTGCACCTTTCCTTCAAGAATTGGTAATTTGACATTATTTTGATTGTTTCTCTTTGTAAATTAATTTAGAAGCTTCTGTATATGCTGAAATTTTAAAGAAATGAGATGGGCGGCAGAACTCTTACGTCCTACTTGCGCACCCATCGGATCTACCCCAAAAAGTAAAATGTGCAAGCAGTGCAGCGAGTGTTTCCACATTTCTGTTTGAGGCAGAGTTCTATAAGTATCACTGCATACGGCTGAACTTACGCTGAATCTCATCAACGAGAAGGCTGCATATAGTGTTTTCACTCAGCTTAAACCCATTATTTTGTAGTTACCTGAGATTAATGAAGAATGGAGGTGGTTAATAGCCGGCGAGTCCTTCCCAGCAGCACAGGCAACCAAAAACGCAGCTGCGGCGCACCACGTGGCCCTCACCACCCGAACACAAAAACGCAGGCAACTGGCGTTTTCGTTTGCCTTGAAGCGCGCGAGATTTATGAACTTCTTTTCGATTAATCTATGATATAATTAGCATGCTTTGCGCATCAGCAAGATAAAAGTGAACTCTGAGGTGTGCGTTGACCACCGTGGTGTTGACACATATGACATGACAACTTTTTTTTAAAATACTTCTTGACATTAACACAGTTCGCACAGCTTACACACTCATAAACTATAAAATTAACGAAAGGGCAGAGTATTAAATCTATGTGGTGCCGCGCGGACACGCGCCGAATTTTAATATATTTTGTTTCGATTTCCGAAGAACTGTCGTCTATTCTACGAGGCTCCCAAGAAGACCTGCCAGCGTCGCTGTTTTCTTCTTGTTATAATGTTCTGAGCTTCTCAGCCTACTCATATCCATTCACCTTTAAATTGTAATGAATGTTCAAGTGTCGAACTGCATCGCTATCCATACACTTCTTTTTCAGTGCTAAATATATTATAGATTAATCGAGAAATAAGTTTCGAAATCTCGCGCGCAACTAAAGCAAATGAAAACGCTAGAGCCACTAAATGAGCTGCGCTTATTTAGTGGCACTATAGAAAACGCCAGTTGCCGACGATTTGTGTTCGGGAGGTAAGGGCCACGTGGTGCGCGGCCCCCGCGTTTTTGGTTCCCTATGCTGCCGGCAAGAACTCGCCGGCAATTAACCACCCAAATTCGCTATATAAGTCTCAGGTAACGACAAAATAATGGATTTATGCTGGCTGAAAACACTATATGCAGCCTTCTCATTGATGGGTTTCAGCTTAAAATCTGCCGTGCACAGTGATACTTATAGAACCCTGCCTCGAAAAGCAATGTGAAAACACTCACCGCACAGCTTGCAAGTTTTGCTTTTTTGGGGTATGTCCAGAGCGAACTGACCTTACGCAAGTTGGACGAATTCTTTCAAAAACCTTTGCCTCTTTTATGGATATTTAATACCCTTTTCCCTGCTCGTGTACTCTAACAACATTTATTATCTTTATCTTCGTTGTTTTTTTATATCTTTTCTTGGAGGACAAAAGGGTGGCTGGCCAACACCACCTAGAATCAGGGATGTCGCGAACCATCCTAGGTTCGATTTCGAAAGGTTTCGATATTTGCGAAGCGAACTGAGGTTCGATTTCGAAATATTTCGATATTTTCGTACCGACCGAGGTTCGAATTCGAAAAATTCGCAACTTTTGACCACAGCTGAGTTTCGAATTCGAAAATTTCGAAGCTTTCACGGTTTCTAAAATTTCGAATTCGAATATTTCGAATATTTTTTTACTTCAGGTTCGATAAATTCGAAAATTTCGAAATTCTTTGGAAAAAAATTCGAAAACTTCGAACGCTTCGAATTTTTATAGACATAAAGTTCGAACAATTCGAAGATTTCGAATTTCTTTCTGCATAAAGTTCGAAAAGTTCGAAGGTTTCGATTCTCTTTTAACGCTAAACTAAAAAAAAAAAAAAAAAACTTCGAACATTTTGATTTTTTTTTTTTTTAATCCAAGTTTTCAAAGTTCGAAGTCCGATTTTCAAGTTTTTCCACAGTTTCAGTTTCAAATAACGTTTTCACGACTCACTGGTTTTCACAAAATCAAGTTTCGAAAAGTTAGGGTGTGATATCTAGATTCTGCGAAGTTGGTCAGGCAATTAAATGAGACGACGAGTGCCTTGGGCGTGCTAGAATATTTGTCAGTGCAGAATTGTGACCGCCAGCCCCGGGGGGGGGGGGGGGGGGGGGGTCTTTAATCTGCATCACGCAGTAGTGATTACACGAACACACTGTTTTATGAGACTCATCCAGTTCGAAACGGCCAGGGGCGAGCAGGAGGTTGAGGCTCAGAAGAACCTTGAAGCGACCTGGCAAACTAGCTCTCCACCCCTTGCACGCTGGTAGTAGTCCGATCCGGTAAAGTTTATAATTGTCCTGGAGGTTTATTTTCTGGGACGGAGGAATCGCCTCTCAAAAAGCACAAAAGCTGACACAACTCGAGGTCGAGGAGCGTTCTACCATACAAGTGGCGTCGGAAGAGGAAAAACGGGGGGAAAGAGGGTAGCGGGGGGAGGGGGGGGGGGGGGGCTTCAGCCTCCTTCTTCCCCTTTCAGGTATTTCGGACTGTTAAAGAAAACAATACGGGGAAAGAGGGCGTGGTCGAGCTTATTTTAATCTGAAATTATTTATGCATATGTGTAGCTACAGTCGCTCTTCACTGCATAAAAGGTTGCGTAGATGGTCATTGTTAGAAACTCGTTGTCAGAAGGTACTACTCGTCACATGCTTAGTGGTTCGGAAGTTCAAAGCTGTCTTTTCAACCTAAAATACCTGTGCCAATAGTAAAAAAAAAAAAAAAAAAAAAAAAAGAATAAACGCGGGAATAAAAAGCAGGAGAAAAACAAAAAACTATCAAGAATTCGTCGGAAGTGTTCTATTCTTGCGTATTCAGAGGTTCAGAACTTCGAAACAAGTTTCTTTTACCAAATTGTGTACAGGCTAAAAGAAACACGTCCCAGGAACGTGAAGCGGAAAAAAAAAAAGTTTTCTTTTAATGACGTGCTGAACTTAAACACTATTAGATATGACCTGTCTGTGGTGTTAATTTAAATACGATACCTCAAACAACTTAGACGAAAATAAATATCAAGTTTAGGTCATAATTGCATGCAGATACATGTTTGGACATTTTTCCGAAACTCACGTTGAATAACAATAATCACATCTTAAGACGGCACTTACCTAGGCTATACATAGATCATTCTTAAAAAAGTATACCATAAATAGCTCCGGCTAGAGCGCGCTTCAAATCTGGCACAAACGATAATCGTCAAAAACCCGTCGTCCTTCCTCGCCCCTTCGGGGATTTATTTCTTTAAACCTAAGCATGCCAGAACATTGAAATAAACGACACTGTCTTTCGTAAGAAACGCAGCACCGCGTGTAAAAGTTCGAGAAAAAAAAAATTACGAATGTACCCCACTACTTGAAATCAAATGAAACCGTCCGCCGGTCTTTCGAAGTTCGACGAACGTCGAACTTTTACCCTAAAAGTTCGAAGTTCGTCGAACTTCTGACATTTCAGAATTCGAAAGTTCGAAACTTTTCGAATTCCCTTGATAAATAAGTTCGAAATTCATCGAATTTTTTGGTCAGTCAAGTTCGAAAGTTCGACAAGCATCGAACCTTGCAGGGCAATAAGTTCGAAAGTTCGAAAAAGATCGAATTTTTTAGCGTAATAAGTTCGACGGTTCGAAAAGCGTCGAAGTTCTTAGCTTAACAAGTTCGAAAATTCGACCTCCGTCGAATTTTACGATGTAGGAATTCGAAAAATCGAAATCTTTCGAACCTTTCGAACCGCTTGATTCGATCATCGAAACTTCGATTCGAAAAAAGTTCGCGGCATCCCTACCTAGAATAATGAAAGTCCCCACATAGCCTCCTCTCCCTTCATGAAATGTCATCAAAGTTGGATCGCCCTAACTCGGCTATTGGGCCCGAGCCCGATCTTGGAGGCGCTGATTGAACAGGAGCCCCAGTCGAACAATGACACAGCACTCGTGCCCAATCTCACGCATCATCATCTTCATCATTTACCGCCCGATAGCCGAGACCTCCCCGGCGATAGATGGCTCTCCCCAAGCCCCACCCCCCGATTCAAAGGGGAAAACGTTACGGCTGTGGGACATCCAGCCATTCGACCTGGGGAAAACCCAGAAAACCCGTCCGCGCCGAGGCTATTGTATTTTCGAGGGGTGGAATGGTATTCCCCCTAGTAAAGTATTTGGGAAGATTAGACGCCATGTTCTTCCCAGAAGTGGCGCGTGGCACGTGTCTCGGGCATTCCCACAACAATGAATGGCGCCACTTTTCCCAGGATAGAGGGGCTTTAACGGGCTCAGCTATGGAAACCTGTGAATACCCCTGTCGGTTACTGCGCAGTTGGAGACAATCAGAATCAACCACACATTCAAAATGTGAAGCGGGTGGTGGCTTCATCATGAAGCTGTCTAGAGATAATCTAAAAACACGTGCTTGGAGTCGCGAATATACTTGGCGACAAAAGTTTAAAATTATACTGTATACTTGACTTTCATAAATTATTCGGAAAAATGCGAAACAAGATCGAGAAAGTAAGTGTATGACGCAGCAAAAGTACTCGTGATATTGTATTTGTTCGTTAATTTATGGTCATTCATGATCATTCGTGGATCTGGGCTGTTTTACTTTGTTCTCATCAATGGCTCGAGATTTGAAATAAAAAATTAAAATTTCAAAATCCCTCATAGTAAAAGTTTAACTCCGCAAAGTCAATGCGATTTTGAATTTAGGTTAATATTAACGAATTAGTTTTTGCATTTCGGGGAATTGGCGAATAAAACTTGGTGACTCTTACCCGCAGTTCCCCCATGGGCCAGACCCTGGTTAAATCGGGGAAGCCCCGCTTCATCGATGTTAACGGACTTCTACTTCCTTACTCTTTCACTCGAGACAACGTGCTGTTCGCCACCATGCTAAGACCCGACGATGGCGACATCGTGATAGCCGGCTACCCTAACAGCGGCACCAAGACAGTAGCCATCATGCTGCACTTGCTTTTGCATCCGCAGAGGAAGGCCGGAAACCAGGTCTCGATCGACGTCCCTCTCATCGAGTGGGTGGGACCGGGCGTGAACTACATGCGCCGACCCCGGATCATGTGCACCCACTTGCCCTATTCCAAACTGAACATCAACCCGATGGCAAAGTATGTGTACACCATTCGCAACCCCAAGGACTGCTGCGCGCACGGCTTCGAAGACGCCATCAGCTTCCCGCAGGACTATGCGTACCCGGAGGGCTGCTTCGATGACTACCTGGGCTTGTTCCTGCAGGGCGCGGTTCATGGCAACGACTATTTCAACCACGTGCTGTCCTGGTGGGGGCATCCCAACGACTCGCACGTCTTGAAGCTCGTCTTCGAGCACCTCCGAATTGAATCGAGGCCTCACATGGAGAGGGTGGTGGGATTCGTGGGGTGGGAGAGCATGGTCGGTAGATGCAAGAGCGCGGCGCTGATGCAGGAGGTGCTTGAGAACATCGCCAGCGGTCCTGCGCATACGAGGATCATGGATATCAAGATGGCGACGCCGACCACTGACAGGCCGGTAGCGAACGTGTCCGCGGTGGCGTATTGGAAGAACTACTTCACGTGCGGACAGTCCAAGATGATGGATTCTGTCTTCTTGGAAAGGACCCGGGAATCGGACATCCGGAATCTGTGGAACGATTACAATGTGTTCGCGTTTTGAGTGTTCACTGGTAGTGTCATTCGATGTTTTACTAACGCTGGGCTCGCGCCAGGTGCAATTTTTTATTACTGTTGTCTTATTTAAAGACGCCTCTAAAATAAAAGTCACTATAGCGCTTTCAATTTGCAATCTTCACGAATTTTATGATCGCATCATTCTTATTTTATCAACAAACTAAATCTGAATTTGCCCAAGTAGTACAAAATTATATTCAAGTTACAGGGATAAGGTATTTGTGTGGAAGCTGTTAGAAAAGCAATGAAAATGCAACGAATGATCTACATTCTAACAGATTCTGCGTGTGTGTGTGTGTGTGTGTCTGTGTGTGGAGGGGCGGGGGTGATGCAACGATAGTCACAGGTATACTTTCTTTTCACATTGATGTGTTTTCACTTCAGATCTACTATATCTTTATCTTCAGCCAGCCATTCTTCATATCAACCTGTGTAATTAGATTGACAATTGGAACGCTCCTGGATCGGAAGTCAAGAAATAATTATGCTTACAGTATTACTGCACTTCGATATGCATGTTAGTAAATGGGTTTTCACACGGAGGAGAAATCCTTCCCACCCCCGGTAACAACGTCACGCCTTTGCGTGCAGATGCGCTGACGTAGACATCCCAGGGGGTTGCGGAAGTCAGAGTATTTGGGGAAGTTTTTGGCCGGGCTACACAAATAATACCTGCCCAATTTTCTGACTTTCCCATGCTTTGGCGCCGCCGCCGTTTCGCCTGCTTCACACAACCTCCGCCAGGGGCGCCACCTCCCCATACCACGAAGACGATGCTTGTCCGCTGCGCACTGCTACTACCGGAACGTACGTGATTCTAATGATTTCGGAACGCATATTTCCTTGCGGGTGAGTAGCAGCATATGTACTTTCCGAAAGTGAGTAAATGTAGTGGACGGTAGGAATGACCCAAGAAAAATTATAGCCAGACGGACGAGCTGGTTAACTTTTACTACGTAGAAACAGCGAACACTGAAAGTTTTTATTGCTGAGGCTAAGGACCAGGCGGAAAGGAGAAGGTGAAGAGGAACTGCAACTGTCAGGGTCCTCGGGATTAGAACCGCTACGAAGTTCCCTAAGCAGTGTGAAAGGTGTTAGCGGTGACGGAGGTCACGTATCGTAATGACGTACTGTACGGATCGTCAGGCGCCCGTCGACTACTTCAAGGTAGTGACGTCACAAGGGGAAAAGGGGGGGGGGGGGGGGGGGGGGGGGCGGACCGCCCCGGGTGCAGCGCTCAGGGGGTGTCGCTGCGGGCCATGGGAGCGAGGGGGAGTCGCGGCGGGCCACGCGAGAGCGGGGAGGAGGGGGGGGGGGGAGGTGTTGCGGGGTGCCGCTGACCCTCGTGACGCCACTGCTGCAAGGTGCGCGAAAGAGAGCTGGGCAGGTCAGCCAGTAAAGCATCACCGCAAAAGGCCATGGAAGGGTCTATGTGCTGCTCCAGATTTGACGACAGGGACGCCCTAGCCAAGCTGGGCTTAGAGGTTTTTAGTGCATACTTTTGAGTAGCAAGAGGTAGTATTTGGGTCAGGGTCTTTCCTTAAAGGAGCTGTGCAACGATATTCAATTGGAATGTTTTTTTCTCTACACGAGCTTACTGGCACACCTGGGACTCAAGGATACTCGCGCGCAACGCCATTGGCCAAGAAACTCCTTTGTTGCGGTGTAATTTCAAGGACAAAAGCGATCATTTTCATTCAATCTCTCCTTTGCAAAATTTGATGACGTAACTCGGGGTTCGCAGTACACCCAAGTGACGATATTTGAATGCGGTTCATAGATTGGACCCGAGCATTGCGTGGGCGCTCGACTTGGGCTCGTGATAATTACTAGCTCGAGAAGCATTCGGGTAGTGGCCCGTGTCCAATCGCTGCAACGACGACAACAGCCGAGCCATAACAATGTCTGGAACTCAGCGCGTGCCCTGTGCTTTGCCAACCCCAGCGCGTGGCTATGATCAACACTGGCGGCATATAATCGGCTCCAGATCACGTGGCCGCTTGTTCTGGCGGCGAGTTGAGGGGGTGAACGCTGCTTGTTTTTCTTAAATTTTTTTCTGGTACTTCTATTGCGTGGGGTGAAAAACGAACAGGTGTTTCATAGGTCATTAACGTTAGGGATCCGTTTTAAGCGGTATTTGTGCACAGTACAAAAATTGTTGCACAGCTCCTTTAAAATGAGCTGCAGCCACTTTTCACGGTCCCGGGTATTGCTTCTAATATCGAGAAATTACAGTCCCCATGACAGTCCCGATGACAGTCCCGATGAGAAACGAACTAATTGCCTAAAAGCGACCCACAGCTACCACGCCAAACGCCCAAAACAGCACAAAGGGTGCTAGAACGGATGAGAGAGGCGTTCACGTTTCGTATGGGGAAGTGGCGCACCCTTCTGGCGATAGCTGGCAAATTGCGATTGGGCGTAGAATGATAAACCGGAAGTTGCTCCCCCCCCCCCCCCCCCCCCCTCCGCGGTTGCCGCCATGTGCGCAAAAGTGACTACTCGTCACGTGACCTTACAAGAGCCGTGACGTCACCGGTAAGATGGCAACGCCCAGAGCTGGAGGATGCGAGTTCAGTACGCGGTAGTCATGATATGCCACTGCTTGCCGACGATTTCAGCCTTCTTCGTTCTCTCTGACGCAGACGTGAAGATGTGAAGGAATGAGACTTTTTGCGCAAGATCACTCTGGATATTAGCACCTGTGAGACAGCATCTATCGTATCGCCGTAGCGGTGCTCGAATTCCCGTATGTGTCCGAGGATCGATAGAACGTTTAGTGCTTTTAAATTTTCGCATTCTCTTAGCTTTGTTTGAACTTTGGAATGTCTGAGAATCGATGCTCAATGTATCCGTCGCACGTAGTTCCTATAGGGGAAGTTAAAGCCCTAGCTAACCGCATAACCATAGTAACTTTTAGCGAGGAAGCTCCGGCGATCTTTGCGTTTTGCCCTAATCAACGATTTTACGATACAACTTTTAGCATCAGATTTTCGAATATTCCTAGCTTTGCTTGAACTTTAGAATGTCCGAAAATCGAAGCTAATAATAATTTGGTTTGTGTGTGTGTTTATACAGCCTAGAACTTGGTCTGCCTCACAGGAGCGACGAGTCTCCCAGCTGTAGATGAGAAATTTAGCCAGTGCGGTACAGCCGCTAGCCTGGGGTCTTTAACGTGCACCACGCAGTAGTGATACACGACCGCACGCCGGTACGATGCTCATCCAGATCGAAACGGGCAGGGGTGGGGCTCGAACCGAAAATCGAAGCGAAAGGTATACATCGCGTGTAGGGCCGCTCGAGATACGGACCTCGTGCACTGGAGCATTTGACGCTACTTCAAAGAGGCTTTACTCTCTAGGGGAGGCTAAATACTAATGTAAAGGTTGTGAGATTTAGGGAAACCATGCCTAGAGTTTTTTAATAACAAAATTATGATCCAGATAATCTAATGTTTTAGTGAAATCAATAAATAGTCCTAGCGTGAGTTTTCCATCAAAATTTCTAAGAATGTATTGTTGGCGCCAAGTTTGGACTCGGGACTTTAACTAGACTTACAAAAATACTCATTAAAAGCATTTTTTTAACGCTTGTCCGGGCAGCCCCTGGCCATTGCAGTTAAGCTTTTACACTTTTTTCTCTGTATATGAACGACCTAAGAGAGAGTTTAAATTTCCCCGTACAGCGTCGACTCTGTTATTGCATGGCAGAAAGAAAAAAGTTACAAAAAACGTTTGTCTGGCATTTCAAAGTTCTTTTAGTTGGTTTTCATAACGTTTAAAAACTAAGTTTTTTTCAGTTTCTTTTGTTTCACAATTTTTTTTTAATTTAGCTCATTTCAATATAAATATTTTTTAGTAATCCTTTTGTGATCCACGTAATACTAGAACAAAACGAACAACCAAGAACACATTTAATAACAGGCCGAGTGTCCACACCAGTCACGAACTGGCATGCATCAAGCGGGCTCTCAAAGATGTCTGGAGATCAATCGAACACGCCCATCCCTTTCCAGAGCAGATTCATAGGAGTGTCAACAGTCCTCTGGAAGAACTTGTTGTCAATCCTCCTGGACTGTTCTCCGGTGAAGAAGTTCTTCCACTGTCCGATCATTCCTTCCCTCACAAAAAACTTCCTCTTCGGCATCACACAAGCATATTCTTTAGCCTTCAGCTTCATGAATAGTATGTTGGACATTCGGAGGACGGACTGCAGCTTGGACTGCTCCATGATAAAGTCGCTAGCCACCCCGCCCAAAAACTTGGCGATGACCTGGACATGCTCCCTGGGTTCTTTCTTCATTGTTTCGTAGACCAGAAACAGGATGTTAGGTTCGTTCTTGTAGCTCCACCAGGGAAGCAGATGGTCGAAGTAATCGTTGTATTCCATCTCTCCGCGGATGAAGCACTCGAAGAGGTCTTCGAACGTACCATTCTGGAACTGGTAGTCGTCCGGAAAGGTCTTCATGATGTGATAGATAGACACGCAGCAGTCTTTCACGTTCCTGGCGATGTAGATGTACTTGGCTGAAGCTGTGTACGCGATGCCATCGAACGGCAGATGTGTCTTGATGATGCGCGGGCTCCGGTAAGTGTCCACGGCAGTCCCTTCTGCTTCGAGGTAGCAGACCTCCCGAGTCAGTGACTCCGAGATCTTTCCCAGGTGAGCGTTGTTCAGCAGCAGGTAGACGATCTGAACGACCCAGCTGCTGCCGCATCCGGGATACGAGTCTATGATTATGTCTGTATCCAGCGGCTCGAAGTTGAGGGAAAATATTATGTTTTCTTGCGTGAACGTCGGGGACAGTCGGATTCCTTCCACGTAGACAAACTTGGGCTTCTTGACCACTTGAGAGAAGCCCAGTCGGTTTCCGCTCTGTGGAAAGTTAAATGGTAAGATATTTAAGTCAACGCTTTTTTTCGAGAGGAATCGCTATTATACACAAGGCGTCTCACCGACTATTTAAAATAAGATTTTAAAAAAAGATTGCAATAAAAAAAACTGTTTTTCGATATATAACGCTGTCAGCACCGGCAGGCGTCATTGTATAAACAAAAAGTAATAATAAGCAATGTAATCACTCAAGATTTTCTCATTAACCTTTCGGATATTCGCCTTGTCTTGCACATTACAATTAGAGAGTTCTTGCCCGTCAACAAAATATGTCATTGCTGCTGTTAGAATTCAAATTTAATCCTGCTCCACGCTATTCTCTGGCAAATTTTAACCGCGAGTAGAAATCTCCTCACAGCTTAAATTTTAGCATGTTTTGACGACGGGCATCAAATCTCAAATTGAATCGTGTCGTATAAAGCGATTGTTTAAATATTTATTAAACAATTTAATTAATATGATAATTATCACCTTACACTGGCAATCTGACGTCCCCCGCGGTCGACAATGTTACCTCTAAGGAATCATTTTTTTTTATATTTCAAGTGACCTAATTTTCGCTTATTCTTATTCATTGATCAAACACCCTGTACATTTCTCTTTGTCGGTGCGGAAACAGACCGACTGTAGGAAGGATAAGTTGGAAAAGCATCGAAAGGGCGATAGAATATGAGGAGATTAGCATGACAGGAAAAAAATGGGGGGAGGGCCGGGGGGGGGGGGGGGGGGGAGTTATCTCAGCTGAAGTAGTGAGGGCAATATAATATCGAGCAAAAGTAGGAAAGAAGCTGGAGGGGAAATTGACTGCACGGACGATTGTGACTGAATAGGGGTTATTCATTGGATGCCTATTTCGGGCCGGTGTTTACAGCGCATGCTCAGAAAGATCTCACATTAATAAGCTGCTAAGACCGGCAATCTTGATGGTGCGGAAGAACCGTGGAAGGTCGCCGACAGCACGCGCTTAGCAGCCGCGTGCACAGCTATGGCCGGCAGTGAACCCTCCCTATTAGCGGCGAGATGTTTTGGTGGCGCCCTCCCATGGTTCCCCTTTGTGACGTCATTACCTTGCGAACAACAAGTTCGATGGTGTTTGTAAATAGCACGGTGGAAGCCTGAAATCATTGCGCTCTCAAAGCAACACTGCCAACACCGTCGAAACTAAAGTTCTTTCATTCCTCTTATTTCCGTCGATGGCATACCCTTTCCGACGTCATAGTCAGCTTTTGGGCCAATCGTTGAAGGCCGACCACAGCGACAATTTCGGTCGCGCACGTCGCCAATTGAATCCGAAGGTGTAGCTCAATGATGGTGCACATAATGTGACATTCACCACGGGACTGAGTGCGCTAGCATGGTTGCAGCAGCTTGCAGGCTATGAGCGAAAAATGTATGTGTCTTGCACACATAAATACAAGTAACGAAAAAACAACGCCAAAATGTTGATAATACAATTAAATGCAAAGGTGGAAGCGAGCTGGACAAGAATGACGAAAATAATCCCTGGGGAAGGGAAAAAAGGGGGACAAAGTACAAACACAAATCTCTGAGCACAGCTAGGTGACTGTTGCGCGTCCGAAACAATTCACCTGGTCCTGGTACCAAACCAGGGACCTCTCCATCTTCAGTTGAGCGCTCGACTGATTTAATCAGGAGTGAGACGTCAGTAGAGCAAACGGGTTTTATCAGTTGCCGCCAGTCCAACACCAACAAGGTGAACCGCTTGCATTTTTAAGGTTATGATGATAACACAATTAAATGCAAAGGTGCAAGCGAGCTGGACAAGAATGACGAAAATAATTCCTGAAGAAGGGGGACAAAGTACAAACCCAAATCTCCAAACACTGCTAGGAGATTTGTGTTTGTCTTTTGTCCCTCTTGTTCCCCTTCTCCAGGGATTATTTTCGTCATTCTTGTCCAGCTCGCTTGCACCTTTGCATTTAATTGCATTATCATCATAGCATTAAAAATGGAAGCCGTTGACCCTTGTTGGTGTTAGACTGGTGGCAGCTGATAAAACCCGTATGCTCTACTGACGTCTGACTCCAGGGGTCCTATGTTGCACTTTTTTGGACTCCCAAGGCGACCAGGGAGAAGGGAGTGGCATAATAATAATAATAATAATAATTATAATGTTTTATTTGCTCAGGAGAGCCGCGGCACCGCAGAAAGGCAAAAGCCCGTACCAAGGAGGCCCGCGGTGCCGTGCCTAGTGATGGTGATTATGTGATGATGTAATGTACAGATGAAAGTGATGGTGATTATGTGATGATGTAATGTACAGATGAAAGTGATGGTGATTATGATATGGTGTGTTAGGCCTAGCAGCAATCTTCGCGGTGATGGTCTTCGCGGTGCTGCCATGGGCTGCTTACTTCTGGCTCATTGATTACATTGTAATCAATGAGCTCATTCATTGATTCATTCACACCATAGGTGTGAATGAGCGGACCACGCATCTTTCGGCTTACCGATTACCACTCACTTTTCCTTTGTTTTCTGCTGCGGAAATTCCTCATCAGCGACTCCACCAATCAACATCCAAAGAGCGTTGTTGACGTCACTTCCCCCTCCCTGTTCGCCCAGTTAGTCCAAAAAGCGCAAACTAGGGCCCCTTGTTAGCTCAGTTAGTAGAGAGCTCCACCGGAAATGGAGAGGTCCCTGGCTCGATATCAGGGCCACGCGGATTTTTAGGGACCATACACCTAGCTGTGTATGGAGATTTGCGTTTTACTTTATCCCCCTTGTTCCCCTTCTCCAGGAAGTATTTTCGAACAAAATGTTTACGCAGCGTGAGGTCCGTTTGCACTAAAACTAGTAAGTGATTCACAGTGTTAATGGACAATAAAGAGGGACTGCTAAACTGGGCACTTTATCGTGCATCCTACTGCAGTGATTGTACGACCGCACATTGGTACAATTCCCATCCAGATAGGAACGGTCAGGGACGGGAGAAACTGGGGTGCTATGTTGCGCGTTTTGCACTCCCAGGAGACTTGGAAGAGGGAAGTGACGTCAACGGCTAAAGCAAACTCAGATTGGATGTTGACAGAAGAAAACAAAATCAACATCCAATCTGCATTTGCTGCGTTGTTGACGTCACTTCCCTCTTTCAAGTCTCCTGGGAGTGCAAAAAGCGCAACATAGCACCCCTGTTTGCGATCATTAGACACGACAGCAACTCTCACCATGGGAAAGCAGCCCATCTTGAAAAGTTTCTCTCGTAGCACAGTTTGAGAACGATGATCTAGAAAAACCCTGTCAATTTCAGGACGTTCAAAAACAAGTTTGGAGGCAATCCGGAATATACTTCGGTAAGCAGTAACGCTGCAGAAACTCAAGGCTTCGTTCTTCTCGTTTTTGGCTGTCTTATGCTGTGCCAAACAGTTTAAATACTAGAGTTTCTTTTTTTTTTTAGGTTTTAAATGTTCAAACTGCAAAATAAAAAATAAAAAGGTCTGTATATATGATTTGCTATATAATTAATAATAAAAAATAACAAGCCAAATAGAGCACGGAAAAAAAAGAGTATCGCATGTAATTGCGCATAGAAGTAAAGCACATCGCTATAGACAAAGACGCTTGACCGCGCGGCGTTCCTTGCGCGCTCCCACGCGAAATTCTCAATAACAAATTACGGCCAACGGGTGAATGAACCAGTCGGAAGTAAAAAAATGGCGGCCGTGCAATCCACCTCAAAAATCCGTAAGCCGTCCTTCGTCGAGGTTCAGGGGGTCCTTGCCCCGTGGAACTGCGACGTAAGCCATGTCCTCTTTGCCATTATGTACCGTCCTTACCCTGGAGACGTCATTGTCGCCTCGTACCCCAGATGTGGTGGCATCTGGGTCAGCTTGCTGCTCTATATGCTTACACACGACGCCAAACAACCGGAGGACCAGAAGGCCTTCTTCCAGGACTGCCTCTTCCTCGAAGAGCTGGGCCGGAAGGTTGAAGACGTGGCACCGCCGCGAAAACTCCAGACGCACTTGCCCGCCAAGAAACTGAGGCTGAGTTCCGCTGCAAAGTACATCTACGTTGTCCGAAGCTACAAGGACTGTTGCGTGTCCCTGTACGACTTCATGATCACCAAGGCCGCTGACTACAGGTTCAAGGACGGCACCTTCGACGAGTACTTTCAGAGTTTCATCGACGGTACCATGGAAAACAATGACTACTTCGACCACCTCGTCTCTTGGTGGGCGCACAAGAACGACCCCAACTTTTTTTTCGTCCTCTTGGAAAACCTGAAGAACAACTTCGAGAAGTGCGTCGTGGAGATGGCCGAGTTTCTGGAGGGACGAGCGGCGAGGCTGGTACGAGACGCCGAAAAGCTGAAGAGAATCGTCGATCTGGGCACCTTCGACTGCTCCAAGCTGGAACGAGACAGAGGGCTGGACTTTTTAAAGGAAGGCGACTGCTTCATGAACTGCGTTAGTTGTGTCGACGAATACTGGAAGGCAAGACTGACGGAGAAACAGTCCGAAAGTCTCGACCTCAAGTTTTACGAGAAGACCATGGGAACACCACTCGAAGAGCTCTTTCGAAAGAGCTCTTGACTTTGCGACAGTTGCAATGTCACTGTTTCAGTTCATTACTTTGTGTTCTTCCAATGCTTCGTTCTTTGTGATATTTTTTATAAATGAGGGATATCAATTGCATTTCAGAAATATGCCTTTAAATTTACTGTAATGTCGAAACAGTCGGCTTTTGCAATTCACAATCATTAAAAAAATGTATGGCAAATTGTTAGGCAATCCTGCTGTACGTGAGACGTTCTAGCATTACAAACGTTTAGCGAGAGCTGCACCTCGTGGTTGCACCGACCGATATGCAATCGGTGTCTAGTAATGTAAATTTCCCGCTAAATTTGTCGGGGAAGCTGAATTGGTGTATAGGTGATGTGACATCAGATCACGTCACGCGAATTTCCCCATTAAATGTAGCAGGAAAACTAAGTTTATCTGTGGGTCACGTGACGTCAATTTTCCCGCTAAAACTAGCGGGAAAAACTGCTAAAACTAGCGGGGCCGCAGAGCAGTTTTAGAAGAAGTTACTACTAACGTCACTAGAAGCTCCGTATCAGTTGCAATGCTGAGCTCGCGCTCTGCTTCTGCAGAGCCAAACAATTTCTAGATCGAACTTTACAGTCGACGCTAGCTCTTCAAGTGGCTGCCTGAGCATTAAGAGCGACGTTGTTTCCACTTGCTCTGTCAACTCTGCCTCCAAAGCTTTGCATGTTCCGGATCTGTACGATGGTACTGACCAACGTTACTAGAACCACTCAGTTGGGAAACTGCCAAGGAGACTGCTCTGAAAAAGTGGCCCCAATCTGTCCACCAGAACCGAGCTAATGGCGAACACAATGCCGCCATTTCTCCCGTAGCGGCCACTCGAGGAACTGCACTTTACTTCAATTTTGGCTTTAATCGGCCATTTTGGCGCCGAAACAGATACAGGTGAAGAGGTTGCAGCGGTGCCACCCCCGCCTCCCCAGCGGACGCGCCGCGAATTACTCCCGAAGTTAAAATGCACCTAGGTTGGGACGCCCTACCTGAAAGGACTGCTGAGGCATAGTTGTATAAAAACAATATTAATTGTTCAGCAAAACCTTGCAAACTAAAGATTATAAAAACATAACGCGCCCTTCATTTTGTATTAAACTCCAATCAATTTCATACAAAAAGTGTCTTTTCCGTTTGTTTTTACGCAAAAACATGCTTTCTAAAAGCTCGAGGTGACCACAGTACAGACAGATGATGAAGAGTGGCGCTGTTGTCGTATTTAGCTCGGTCTCGGTGGACGCCAGCGGCCCAGGTTTCGACGGCGAGTTTCCCAACTGAGTGTTCTAGTAACGTTGGTACTGACTGAAGCCTCTCGGTGTGTTTGCGTTTGTCTTGCGCTTCCCCGCCAAATTTAGCAGAAAACTTGACGTCACGCTGACCTATACACAAATTCAGTTTCCCAGCTAGATTTAGCGGGAAAATTTACGTCACGTGGCCTCAACGCCAATTCAGCTTTCCCGCTAAATTTAGTGGGGAAAATAATGTCACATGGCTGACTTCACGTAACGTGACCTACACACAAATTCAGTTTCCCCGCTAGATTTAGCGGAAAAATTGTCGTGAGGTGACATTTAGCGGGAAAGTTACATTGCGTGACGCCGATTGCATATCGGTGCAGCCACGATCTTCAGCTGCTCCCTGTAGACAAATTCGGATAGCAAATTCTGTCACGGAGACGTGAAACTCAGAGAACGACTAGCAAGTGCACACATATAGCACGCGTTAAACTATCTGATGAAGATCGCTGTGAGAGTACCGCAAAAAAGTTTATGATGCTACAACGTTTTACATATGCAACAAAATTGTCTAGAATTTGCGTTACAATTTTTTTACGACCGCTCCTTTCCGCGGCTGTCATTTTAAATTTAATTGTGGCATTTTACGTGTCACACTAACGCGAGCGCTCTCGTAAATAATGCTTGCGGGGCTTTTGGCCGTCTGGCAAGCTGGGCGCGTGAGATGGAAGTCGTTAGTGCTGATATACCCTAATTTATTTATTTGTGCATGAATACTACCAGATGCGGACAGCATCTCGCCTATATAGCCTTTTCCTGCGCCGCCCCCCCCTCCCCTCCCCCCCCCCCTTTCATGATTAGTGACCATGGGGAGCGGGGGTGGTGCGGGGAAGTAGCTAAGTTTGGAGTTAAAATTTTCAACAGTAGCGAGATTTGGAGCTAGAATCCTCAAAATAGCTCAGTTCAAAGCTAGCTTAAGATAATAAATTAAAAAAAAAAGCCAATTAAATCCGGAGTGGCCACAAATTGGCCGCCCCCAAAACTTTGCCGCCCGAGCTGCCTTTTGGTAAGTCCGCCCTTGAAAACTATGATTCTCCCTCTGGAGGCTGTGGCGAGGGGGATTATGATGATACATAACGAAATTCGTCTGCCAGCAACTCTGTTATATCGAAGATGTTACTAATAATGGCTCTCTGCTATTTTGAAACACGAATGGACTATTGTATGAAGACAGACCAGTAAAATCGTTTCCTGCGGACCGGAAAAGCATTCCTTGGTACCCTCCTCTTCATTTCCTTTCGCGCTCTTCAAAAACTACCAATCGGCTCCCCCCACCCCTTTCCACTTTAGCAAAGCGAGCGATGGAGAGGAGCAACCTTCTCTCCAGCCTTCGCTCTGCTAAAGTGGAAAGGAATGCGTGGAGCTTTACCTGAACTTTTAAACCGAAAGCAGCGGGTCTGGGATTGGTCCGGGTTTGATGGATTATAGCATGATGGTATATACTATAGTCAGTTACAGGTTAAGAAGGTAGCGGCAAATGCCCCTCAAAGGGAATCAGATATCCCTCCGCCACCTCCGCATCCAATAGCGTCCCACCGTTTCCGTGACGTCGCGGCCAACGCGCGAGGAGGGTCTTGCCTTTCTGTACATATTTGCTTTATCTTTCGACTTTTACTTAGCATTGTGGAAGCCACGAGAGGGAGATTAGAGTTCTCCCCCACCGACGGAAACAAATACGACTTTCGGGGATTAGCTTTCCCCCCGATGGATACAAAGGCTGCTTTCAGGGGCTCGGTTCCCTCTCCGATGAATACAAAGGTCGCTTTCTTAAAAAGTGGGATCGGAGACAAGTGGGAATCCATTGAAGCGGAACAAGGAGTGTTTCCAGTGAACTCTTCTTTCGACTGCGGAGAGATTTGAAACGGGCGCATTACGCTTGTGGGAGGAGCTTCTCCTACCTTCTTGACTTGTAACCGACTATATACACCGTTTTATCGTGGGTAGCATCAGTTTGAGAGTGAGAGAGAAGAGCGGAAAGGCCTACTGGCGCTTTCTCCCTTGCTGGTGCGTTAGAAAGAGTGAAAGTCCCGGATGAGAGGCTTCGCCGGTGTTGGGTGCACGCATTGCCCGACCTTCGTTCGCGCTTTCTTCTCCGTTTTAAACTCTCAAACTTAATTAGAGCCGCGGGCTTGGACAACGACAGGAAGTGTCCAGTACTGTCCGAGGTCCTATGTAGCTTGCACGGGATCCAGCAAAGCGATTGCGGCCGCACCTCTTTTCACATGACCCCGACCTCCGACGGCAGTGGGTTGCGTCCGTAAACCGCAAAAAACGTTTCCCCAGCGCCATCCGCGTGACTGTGCTCGGAACATTTTGTGAATTGAGCGCGCACCGCAATCCACGAAAACTCCCTCTTGTGTCACTCTCTCAGATATACCGTAAGAGAAAACACTCATACCGGAATAAAAACATTCTAAAGGCATTAATTTTAATAAAACACTTTTAATAAAACACGAGTTAAAAACGGAATTAAAACAACTAAAGGACATATTTGAAAGTGATTTTCGAAAAGAACTAAGAAAAATTAAAAACAGCATGACGTTTATTAACAAGGAGTTTAAGGGCATAAAGGACGAACTGAAAGCTATTCGCACCGAGAATAAGGAGCTAAAAGCTGAAAATCGAAAGTTGCACCTCAAGTGCGATGAGCTCGCCAAGGAGCTAAACACAACAGCGTCCCGGATACTCCGCTGCGAACAATATTCCCAAAATGCTAACATAGAGATCAAGGGAATCCCTACGCAGCCAAACGAAAACCTTTACGCCATATTATCAAAGATTGGCGATAGGATCGGTGAGCCGATCCTGGATACCGGCAATGAAACCTGTCATCGTGTACCTGTCAGCAATAATCAGGAAAACAAAAACATAGTTGTACAATTCACGCACCGATGGAAACGGGATTCGATTCTAGAAAAGGCACGTCGCCTTATGGTACGTTTACACTTGCGGATCCACTAGCGAATCCGCCCAGCTTTCGCCGCTAAAGCGAAACGCTGGGCGGAAAACGCGGCGGCGAGCCGAATAGGTCCAGGACGTATTTCTGCCGCCGAACGAGGCGTTTCGCGGACCGGAAGTGACATTCTTGCGCAGCGCGACGCTGCCTGCGTCGCAACTCTCGCGCCTTCTCGTCATATGTGACGGGATGTTACGAGAACACCTGCCGCAGCCGGCGCCACCGCCGCCGCTCGAAGGAAATAGATGTAAACACAATCCGCTCGTCGCCGCCGCCGCCGGGAGCGGATCCGCTCCCGCGGCAGCGGATTTCTTCTCAAATGTAAACGGATCTTGAACTGCTGTTTAATAATGTTGGTGTTAGTTTTGATGTAATTATGTTTAGTGAAACATGGTACAATGAAGAATCACCCTACTTCACCCTCCCTCATTATCAACATTTTGCTTTAAATCGTACAGATAAGAGGGGAGGTGGAGTTTCTTTACAAGTTCAGTTTCCTACAACTTCGGTGTTGATACCACACTTCACAGTACTAACTGTAGATTACGAGTCACTTACAATAAAAGATGAGTCAAACATCGATTGTGTTGTTTATCGTCCGCCGGATGCCTGTTTTTCCAGATTTATAACCGTTTATGAAACTTTGGTGGATTTTGCCTGTGTTAATAAATATATGTTATATGTAGGTGGCGATTTTAATATTGATGTATTGACCCCTTCAGCTTCACGAGCAGAATTAATGAATTTGTTAGAAGCATATTCTATTCACAACGTCATTAGTATACCGACACGTGTTACATGCTCTTCCTCTACAACAATAGATCTTTTTATCAAAAATCGTGATGTGGCGCATATCACCGCTGGGGCAATACTTGCTGACATTAGTGATCACTTTCCAATTTTTTTGTCTTCTACCAAAATTGTTAGGAAACAACACAAACCAGAACTATGTCCCTCTTTTCAACTAATCACTACTTTTACGCTAGATAAGTTTCGTGAAGATATTCGTTGCCTTAGAATCATTAGAAAATTATAAACGTTACAGAAATAAATTAAATTCAGGGTTAAAACATGCAAAAAGGAACTACTATCATAAACAGTTTAACGAAACTATACAGGGAGATATTTTGTGGAAGCGACTCAGGAACGTTTTGCACCCAGTTGCTGAATCGACCATCCAAAAAATAATTCTGAATGGAACAGACTACGATGGGGAGAGTTTAGCCAGTGCTTTTAATAACTACTTTGTGAATTTAGTCCCCGCTAGCAATACTGTGTTGACAGGAAATTACATAACCACTCATGCTCGTGTAAGTGGCTCCTTATTCTCTTTTCCCACAAGCGAAAACGAGGTTGTCAATACCTTTCATAGCTTAAAAAAGAGTAAATCTCGTGACATATAGATGATTTACAAATAAAACCAATAAAATACGTATTAGATTTACTTGCCCCTATACTCACACACATATTTAATCTAGTGTTAGAAACAGGTGCCTTTCCTTTACGAATGCAAACCGCTAAAGTAACCGTGATTCATAAAGGAGGCGGTATAAAAGATCTCTCCAACTACAGGCCTATTTCTATTCTCCCTGTATTTTCCAAAGGACTTGAGAAAATCATTCATTCACGCTTAATTAACTTTTTTAACAAGCATATGTTGTTATCTAATTCACAGTTTGGTTTCCGGAAAAATATGTCGACTGAGATTGCGCTCATAAAGCAGAAATAGATAATTATTGAAGCTTTCGAGAAAAAACAAAAAAACAAAACTGGTTCCACTCGGCATTTTTATAGATCTTTCTAAGGCGTTTGATCACCTGAATCATAACATCTTAATTGCTAAGCTTGACATGTATGGTGTTCGTGGAACAATGTTATCACTAATTAAATCGTATCTCCTAAACCGTAAGCAGTGCGTATCTCATAATTCATTCCTATCATCTACTGAGGATATTAAATCAGGCGTCCCGCAAGGCAGCATCTTGGGGCCCCTATTATTTATAATTTATATGAATGACGTTTTCAATATCAATACCGAAGTACAGTCAATAGCATATGCTGATGATATAACGTTGTTTTTTACTGGCATTGACCCCGATAAACCTATAGTTTCTGCTAACAATTTTCTCTCTTCCTTAAAAATATGGGCTGACTTGAAATGCTTAAAAATAAACGCCAATAAAACAAGGGCCTTATTGTTTAGACCCAGAAATAAAATAGCACGTGTGTCTACAAATCTTTGCTTGGGCGGAAATAATATTGAATTCGTTCAGGAAATTAAAGCTCTGGGTGTTTTCTTCTCGGAACATCTCACGTGGAACCAACACATAAACCATGTTGGCATGAAATTAAACAAACTTAATAGCTTGATGAATAAACATAGACATATTTTGCCACAAAACACAAAAAAATCCTATATAATTCTTTGTTTCTGCCGACTCTCACTTACTGTCATGTCATATGGGGAACAACTGCAAATCAGAACATGTTAAAGTTACTCGTCGCACAAAAAAGGGCTGTACGTATTATAACTAACGTTCCATGGTTTACATCAACTCGTAAGTATTTTAATGAATTAAATATTATAAATGTGTTAAAAATGCATGATTTCAGACTAGTTTCTCTTTACAAAAATGCAGTAACAATAAACAACGCACCACTGCTACAATTATTTAATCTAATCAAACACATACCATCGTATAATATAAGACAGCCCGAAATATGGAAAATACCAACCGTCAGAATCTCGTATGGACATCAATCTATACTTCATACCTTGCCTGTTCTCCTTAACAACCTCGCAAAACAAAACATTACACCCGAAACATCAACAAAACAGTCCCTCAAGTCCCATTTCATATTTTACTGATGCGATGTTTTCGAATTTTTCTTTATGCTTATATGGTTTCTCGCTGAAATATTTTTCTTTTGTGACCTTGTTGTATAGTATGTACGTATGTTTTTTTGTTTTTTTTTTTGTGCATCATGATGTCTGCGATTTCATCACCTTATGTTTTACTTGACTAGGTATGTAGGCATGTATGTGATGTATGTATGTATGGCGTGTTGCATGTATAGTGTGTTATTTATGCTGATTCACCAGTTATATTTGCGTTATCATTACTTGATTATTACTTGACCCGGTATATATATTTTTGTGCGTTTATGTCTGTATTATTGTCACTCTACCTCTTTGTCGGTTAGACTTTAAATGTTCTGCTATGCTTTGAGTGATTATTTAGTTTGAATTTTATTGTGTACTCTATGTCGAGTGCTGGGGCAGGGGCCTGTCAAGCTGCAACTGCAGCTTTTTTCCCTGCTCTCCACACTCCTTTGGAGTGAAAATAAATGATTATATATTATATAAAATGAACTTCCCCGTCTCTATCCAAAATGACCCCCGCTCCGGCAAGGTGAGAAAAACTCCTTACCTGCCAGGCGCGGGGTTCCGGAGAGCCAAGATCGGGAAAGCATCGGAGAAGTCGCCATATTAATGCCATCTCGTTCGCGGGTGTCGCAGGAGTCCCTTACCCGAAACGGAAAAAAGACGAGAGAAACCTCTTCGCCTGTCGGTCGCAACCGCATCAGAAATCCGAGCGAGAAAATGGAAGACGTTTCCCCGGGAGAGAGTGAAGGAGGAAGGCCCTCCAAGACAGGCGACTCCTACACTTCACGAAGAAACAAGTCGAAGCTCACGGCAGAAAGCGAGCGTCTCGACCTGCATGTGGCCGTTATCACGGCCATCGGGGAAGGGAGATCACAGGAATGCCAAGTGCCTCGCGCAACCTAGCATAAGAACATTTGAAATCGCGCCCGTGACGCTCCATCGGGAGCGACCGCCCTGTTAAAAAAGGTTTTTGGTGCAACTAAATAGTCCACCCCCCCCCCCCCCCCCCCCTCCTCAAAAGATTGCCCTAAATTTCTGGGCACTCCTTTTGGTCTTGCGACAGGTCTATTACAATGAAGTGACCGGAAAGCGGTGTGAATGCATTTCGAAACGACGCCGTTTATTGCTTAAAAAATCATCTTTGTACTCTGGAAATCACAAATGACAAAGTGGCACATGATGTTGTAATCAGATGTAACCATCTGGAACAGTATGTTACATCATTTGGTGGCTGATACAAGCGTGGACTATACATTTTCCTTTGGAAGCCAGGAGACTTGGTGCAAAAAAACACTCTGCAAGTAGTGCTCAAAGTCAGCACAAATCAAGATTTGTGATAACCTCTCGTGTATATCTTTTTTCTCTTTTGGCATTAGCACTGGGAGTGTGTATCTTCAGAGGTGAAATGTTGTGAACAAGATCACACTTGCTTTGCTCCGAAATAATTTAGCAATAAAATAAGCTCCAAAGCATGATTATACAGCAAACATTCAATTCACCCAGAATAGGGATCATCGGCTACTGTGTCACCTAGGTGCCAACACAAATCAGTTGAGCACTGCTGGTTTATCCGTAAACATTGAATGTGTCATTGCAATTCTAGATGTATACAAAATGGCTACAAATGCAAAAAAAAAAAAAAAGTATATTGAATCATCAATTTGATTGAAATAAGCAAAGCTCTGAATGCCTATTGGGTCTGGTTTACAGAAGCGTTCAACTCTGCACAACTGCTTGTCTGTCATGTGGATAAACAATGAGCACAGGTTCTACCTACCACAGAGCAAATGTACAGCGAACAAATGAAACACAAAGTACACTTAGGGACTATGAAAACTAAGTGAGGTGGGCAGGTGACTGGATGGAAACAAGTCCTCACTGGTAACATCTCACCACTTCAGCTTCCTGAGGAGAGGCAAGGCTTAGAAAGAAACCAACACCAAGCTGCCAACATGCCTATCCACCTTTTGATCACTGGCTCCACTGACAAAGTTAACAGTGAAGCTGACTGTGCATTTTCAATGTGGCTATTAACATTAGTGTAATCTCAGTGGCATCCCGAAGTACCCGATCCTAACTGGAACACACCAACTTTTTCTCAGGTTGGCATTAAAGCACACATTCCTAGTATCCCACAGAAGTTACACTCCGTTTAGCCCGACATTAGACCGCATCAAATGCTACGAGCCATCAAAACCGATCCAGTGCCGCACGAGTGTCACCTCGATGCACGGGGCACACAGTCACGCGACACATTCACGGCGCTGGATCGGCAGAGATGGCTCATAGCATCTGCTGCGATCCAACATAGGGTGAAACCGAGTATAGAAGCTGTATGCAAACCGCTCAGCTGTATGCAAACTGCTCTCGCTTCATTCCAGGAATTTACAGACTAGCCACCTCTAATCCAACAGAGATCACATGGTATAAGTTACTCCCGCCAGAACGGGACACACAAAAGTAAACGGAACCAACTGTACAACCAAATTCCGCAAAAAAAAAAAAAGTGTTGCCACTTCGAAGAAAACCGCTAAAATAAATTACAAGGTCACACTCCATAAGAAAGAGACGAAACGAACCAGCACCAACTGTTGCGAGTTGCCAGCGGTGATCCGAAGCCGAACGGTCGTAATCTCGACGGATTTCAAGGACAACCGGAACTATGCTCCGTTCGCACCCAAGGCGACAGTGTGGTGGAAGTTGCATGCATGCGGAACCAATCAACAGCCTCCCTTTTCGTCGCCCGACCCCTCCCTTTGGGCGCGGGTGCAGGCAGGGGTGTGGTTATGTTACGGAATATAAATGTACAACTGGTCCAACAAGCACCCAGCCTCCACCGCACTGTCAGCTTAGGAAAGAACAAAATATAGTAGTACAACAATAAATTAAAAAAAACAAGTAGCAACGGCAGTTTTCTGGTTACATTTGTGGATGGCCGCGTTTTCCCGGACGAGAGTTTGTGCGTCCGAAGGAGAGCACCGAGAAGTGCGGCGGAGTGAACACACTTGAGCGGTCCGAGCGTCCGGCCCGGGGCTACTGGGGGGCGAGGGAGGCCTGGTAGGTAAGGCGGGGGTCGGTCACGGGGGCCGTCTCCAGGTTCTTGAGGAGCTGGGCGAGCCAATGCGTGGTCGACTTGTCGTCCTGCAGGCAGCTGGCGAAGGTGTTGTCTTTCAGCTGGTCCGGCAGGCACTGGCGCAGGGCTTCGCGAGCCCTGAAACGGCCAGGCAGACGCGTTGGAAACTGGTTCAGCTTTTAAAGGGCACGCCACGAGATCGTTATGCCCTCCTTCCCCCCCCCCCCCTGACGTTTGTGGGAGAGAGAGCCCAAAAAAAAAAATCAAATTCCTTTCCTCTGACAAGGTCTTCTTGCAAACTCATACCGGTTGTCTTGTAGAGAAAAGAAGAAGTTTTGGGCATTTTTGTGCGACGCGCGGTGTACTTCTCGCAAGATTTGGTAGTTGGAGGAAGAAACGATACTTATAGCGTTGGAAAACCAGATAACCAACTTGTGTCTTCCATCAATCCCCTCTCCAGTCACAAACGACTCGGGACTCGCAATATTGAGAGGTAGTAATTTGTCACTGTCCCACCTTCATTACCTAACGTAAAGTGAAGCGTAATGCTCATGACCCCTGAAATACTGAATATGTATCGTCATAAAAAAAAACTTGTTTAAAAAAAAAGAAGAAACACGGAGAGTGAGGCAACTTGAGATACTCCCTTTAACTTCCAGTATATGGCTCGTGGTTTTACTATTTCTAGATTTAACCCCTCACAAGCAGGACTAGCGGATTTTTAAACAAAACGATTAATTTCCTTGTTTTTTTTCTCAAGATATGTCTGGTTGAGGAAAAAAAAAAAGGGGGAGTTGAAAGATACCACCTGCACCCATTTTGACCCCTAGAACCGTAGTAAAAGAAGTCTGGCTCTTTACTGATTTCTATTTTTAAATAGAGAATTAAGATGCATGTAAGTACATTTTAGATACATGTTATCTTCTCAAGACGGACGTGTTTCAAATGCAAAAGCACATCGCTTCCTCCTCCGTCAACCACCTATTGTAAGAATTCTCTGCACAGCGTATGAACAATGCGCAAAACTTCTTTTTTTCTTGAAGTGAAAACGAGTATAGAAGACACTGCCCGCAGTTTACGCCCCAACCTGCCCCAAGCACTGTGTGGATTCACTAGAGATGATGTCACAAGAGGGAAAGTGCAGGCCTTATCTACGTGGATTCACTACTGATGATGTCAGAGGAGTTAAAGTGGAGGCATTGTCTCGTAGTATCAGTTGAGGAGGAGAGAAAACGAGTATCATAAAAACATTAATTGAAAAAACCAACGTCTTTGCACAAGACCTGGTTCCCGTCTTACGCTTTTCAATGTGAAATGCTTATTTCAAACTCTTCTTTGCCAAAGCAAGAAAAAAAAAAAAAAGAAAGAATTCATCGTCAGAATTGCAAAATATTTTTATTCGACAGGCTAGTCACACGTTCGGTCTTAGAAGTCTCACTCGTGTCATAAGACAGCTAGTACTTGGTCCTGCAGAATGTCCTAACTCGCAAACCTTCAGGCCCCCAAAAAAGAACATTCTAAAATTTTGTGCAGTGCAAGCAGCCACTGGTCACCTGTCTGTGTACAAGAACAAAAGGTTTGAAATAAAATGTTAATTCAAAGAAGGGCAACAGTGCCAACTTCTCATATCCGAGTTCACCATACATGAAGTTCACTGCCCCTCAGCTTCGAGGGTGAATTGTAACGAGCTCGAACGCCTCACCTAGGATTGTCAGAGAGTCTCAGGTAGCACCTGACCACGTGCTTCAGAAGGCGCGCAGTCTGTTCCTTAGCCAACGACAGAACCATTTTTCCCTGCACGAAGAGACGTGCATCATTGAGTAACTATGACATTGTGCCGTTTAAAAAGAAGCAGCAGCAGCACCTAATCGAATGGCAAACAACTCACCAGGATCATTGCCACATGAGAAAAGCGTTCGTAAGTCTGACAGATGTAGGAGAGTCCGGTCTCATCCACAAGAATCTTCTGCAGAATGAAAGTGGCCACCTGAAAAACAATGACAGTACTTGTATTGGAGGTGGCATCCAGTACTGGGCAGACATTCTGCCTGTGCCTATAAAGGTTCAGTACCATGTAAAAACAAACACTGAAGCCATTTCTAAATAGCTGGCAAACCCAATCTAATAGAGAAATAATGGCCACTTGTCTTTGTAGAGCGGTCCAAAAAGATTTGCAGATTTGTCATTTTGAAACCCTCAGAATAAAGAAGATTTGAGTGCTGAAGCTTGCAGAGGACTCAAAGGTTGCGACATGCCAAGTGTGAACTGTATGCAACAAACATATTTCGCAAAATCACTATAGGCTAGAGTTTTTTTCGTTCCATACCTGATGAAATAAAAAAGCTGGCAAGTACTAATCCACGACTTAATCACAATATGCAGGTGCAATTCTCTCGCAACACTTAATGGAAAGCAAATATTAATAAAAAAGAGGTATGTGCGAGAAATCAGTAGTTTGCATCAAATACATTACAAAGATGCAAAGAAGCATTCACATTACAACCACAAAAGAAATCCTCATGGACACAGTCCTTAGAGACCAAAAGTATCGCCTTTATTGCAAGAAAGAGACCAACTAACAGAAGCTGCATATCCACGTGACAGGCAATCGGAGAGAAGAGACATGCACCAGAACCAAGACACTACTACAGGCAACAGGCATCGTTAGCTGCGGTAGGCCGTTACTGCATGCAAGTCGGCAACCAGTGAACGTGGCAAGCCAATTCCTGGCAAGGCACGGCTAGGGGTCATGCAGTAGTTTGAAGGCAAGCAGAGTTTCTGGCTCAAGCAGGTGCGAAAGCTTCAAAACCGGGACTTTGAGGTCAGCCTGGCGAGAATCGGAGTTACCGTCTTGGACAGCTCACTGCCGGACTCCATGATCCTCAAGCAGAGAGGAATGATTTCCGTCGACAGCAGGAAGTTGATCACCTCCTGTTCGTCGGTCTGCAACAAGCAGATGGAAGGAGAGGAAAGGAAGTAAGTTGGGAGAAATAATGGCAAATAGTGCAGGCGAGCTGGTCAACTTTCAGCTTAAAAACCCCGAGACTTTGGGGAAAAAAAAGGGTACAACACGCATGGGCAGGCACACCATTGTGCGTGTTGCCCACAATTTTTGTCCTCAAATCTCGGGTTTTCAAGATGCAAGTTGGGAGCATTTTCTTTCTGAGGACACATGCGTCCACATTTCCAATGGGCTGCTGAATATGATGCTCCATAGGTAGGGTGACCAGAGTCCCGTTTTGGCCAAGACAGTCTCGTTTTTGAGGTCCATTTCTGCCGTCCAGTCTTTTTGTCCCAATAAAGAATCATGTAACGTTTTGGCAGAGTGCAGAGTTTCGAAATTGGCACCAAGCGAGTTGAAGCAAACCGAAACTATGCCTACTCGTTACAAGTATATTTTACAAAAATAACTGTAAATACTTTAAAATATGAGTTAAGCTAGCCTGTGTGCCTCGACCGGAAATGGCTATACGCACGACGCGAAGCTTGGTGGGTCTCATATAATATGAATGGTTACAAAAAGCTTCGATTGGCAGTAAAAAAAAAAATCTAAAAAATGTAGCGTATCTTTTTTTTTTTCAAACATTTTTTTGAGCATTTGGCAATATTTAGATTTCTTTTTACAATTAACACTGAAAACACAAAAAAAAAAAACATGCTGTTGATGAAACTTTGCTGAACTCAATAGTATGGGACTCCTTTTCCGGCGGCTTGGGTTAGCTTGAGTTGCTGGTTGTACGGTGGGGCCAAGTGGGTTAATAGTTCTGTAATGAACAGCCGCATACAGTCGCCGAGAAGCGGCGTGAACACAGGCGGGGGATATTTACCCAGAGAGTAAAATTTAGTGCAATATAGGACGTTTTAAAATAACAGCAGTTATTTCATTAAATCTTTTCTCCCAATCTCAATCTCTAATACAATTCCCCCCCCCCCCCCCTTCCCCACCCCGTTGGGATGTCCCGTTTTCTACCTTGAGGAATACGGTCACCCTATCCATAGGAAGAATCATAAAGGTGCTCAAAGTAGACCTTACATATAGCGTCATTTCGAACAATGCAAACACATTTAGAAGAAACATTCGTCAAATATCCGCATTGCTTGTTTATCCTACTATGCGTCACTTGCAGAGGCATAGCCATACGCAGTAGGAAAAAAGAAATGATTGCACCTTCTACTTACTGAGAAACCTGGACTGGAGTGTTTTCAGTATGATCATGTATTACCGGCTTGTCTCTGCATTACCTCTTATTTCCTCCCCTTCCCCTTCCCCACTAACCGCTCTCCCTGGAAATTCCTGAATATGGACATTTGTTTTATCTGCCTACCAACAATACATTTCGAGCTGACTTACCTACCAAGTTGGGAGAAACCAAATCCGGGATATTTTCTAAGTCGTGGAGGGGGGCGGTTTTTAAAAACAAATATTGACTATGACCGAAAACGAAGCTAAGGCGTAGGTGAGCCGCTACAAGCTTACCATTATGTTAATTTTTACGAAGACAACTCCATTACATTTGTATGGCACCGCTCACACTAGCGAGACACAGCTGGGCCTCGTTATCATTGGTGCCGTCTTTAGCGCCAAAACTTGGATAACGGCAAACTTGTGCATCTGAAAGCCAGTAAAGAGACAGAGTTCGCAAGAGACTCACCTTGACTAAAGCGCCAATCACGCCTAGGCTGGTCAGCCGTAAGTACTCAAATGGCCTGGTCTTGCTAACAGTGTGTAGAAATGGGTACAGGAAGAGGGGAATGTTGGCTGAAATGGGGAAGACGACGAATCAGGCAAGTGACACGCACAAGCACCGCCATGTTCTGCTGCTGGTCGATACCAGTGACGCCCATCGCAGCCACACTGTGCGCCCAGGATGGTGGCACACAAAGGGTGTGCTTTGCACCAAACACTTAGAACTTGGCCATTTGTGTCCCAGCAGTTATTGGACACAATCCTCGACCCAAATGCCCGCTAAAGGCATATATCGCAACTGTTCCCAACACTAATAAGACGGCTTCGGAAGTTACGAACAATGTGACGAGCACGTCGGCAAACGAGAATATGTCGTACCTGCTAAGAAGTAAGAGCGAGTATCGGGGTGCGATGCTACACACTGTAACAAGGCCAGGGCATTACACACTCTATTTGACTGGTGTGCCTGAAAAGAGAGGAAAACAGTCATTTTTCTGCTCACTGAAGGCTCGGGAGTTGCTAAGAGTAAACCAATAGAGAACAAAAGCTTACAGTCAATGTCGGGGGATTAATGGCAGGGTATATGTTTATAATCTCCTGTAGCAGAGCTGCGATGGTACCAAAGGAATTCCACAGCATCGGTGCAAGGTCCGGAACCACCTCGCGCTTCTTACTGCAAAGTTAATTCGGAACGGTAAATTAACGGACAATCTGGCTCGGCGGTAGTACACTGCTCAACAAAACTCGAAGGCTCTTCGCCTACAACTACTACTGCACCATACGGTAACAATACGAAGCCCTCCGCGACACCCGTTACGAAGACAGCAGAGCGGATAACAAACCTCAGTTCCAACAGAGCGTTTTCGCGGGTCTCCGGGTTAGACAGTTCGATGATCCACTGGAAGATCTTCTCCTTGTCCACGGCCTGAATCACCGAATGCTGCGAGACATTCATGAGAACCTGCGGCAATCAGGCATTCAGAACGCATCCATCTCAAGCGTCGTTTCGTTCTGTTACTTTTATTTCCATTAATCATCAGGAGCGCTGACACAGGTTTCTCGTGCACGCTAGCTGCCGTTCGGTGGCATCGCGGCTTTACATAACCAAATAAATATAACTATTATCAGAGTAGGATCCGGCATCAATTCCAGACATTATTTTAACCTATAAAATAAGAAGAAAATATAAAAGAAAACGCGTGCCGTAAAGGTCATACAGCGCAAACCTGAGCGAGTTGGTAACCGGATATAATTAGCAACTGTCAATAACGCAGTTAATGCAAAGGTGCAAGCGAGCTGGACAAGAATGACGATAATAATCCCTGGAGAAGGGGAACAAAGGACAAACATAATATTTTTATTTAGATTTGTGTTTGTCCTTTTGTTCCCCTTGCCCAGGGATTATTATTGTCAATACACCAGACTTCGTGAGGATAGCCGGATAGCTCGAGAGAGAAAAAGAGGTCAAGGAACGAAGCGGCGAGGTATTTACCGAATGGCTGTTCAGGGGATTCATGAGGAGGGTTCGTCAGGGACAAAACGCACGGGAGAAACACGAGCAATATAAAGAAAAAGAAGCAATGCGAAAACCACAGTAAGAACCGTAAGAACCTTCGCGAGTATACGTGATTGAAGACTCGCATTAATGGACGAATCAAGTGCCACTTACATAGGTCGAGTTTTAGATAGTGTCGTAACAAAAGGGGAGCATAAAATATTGCTGCATACTAATAAAACAATTTTTAAGTATTTTAATGTATTATTTATTATTTAATTTATTCCTATGTGATTTATACAATTTACTTAATTATCAAACCCAAAATATTGTAGTTAGTTTCGCATACTAAATGCAATTGTTATTTTGCTACAGTCACAAAATAATTAAAGAAACTACATATATAACAATATTTAGGCGTTATTTATTTAGTTTTAACTTAAAACATTATCGCCAGACATCATTTTTTTTTTCAGTCACGTGACCGCCGTGATTGACGAGCCCAGACTGCGCAGACCGGCGCAGACGATCTCCCGCTCAGCGCAGTTCATTTAAATTGGAGTAATTTTAAGACTTTCAGTGATCGCCGACATTGGATTTAGTAGGAGCGTATAACTGCTCGATAGTCGTGAATCCTGCCTAGTTCTCTGCAGCCAGCGCTTGACTCGCCTTTGTTGGACACTGCGAAGCGCAAGACATCGACGGCAAGATAGTAGCCGAATTTCTCGTTATCGGCGAGCATCATGTTGGCGAACACGGTACGTTGCGGGAAACGATCGATCTACGTCGAGCCGCACAACTTTATATGTGGGAAGAAAGCGGCGACATCGGAGAGCGCGGGAGATTTCCATGTCTACGAGCCAGCGACAGGTAGGCGAATCACTTCCAAAAACGGTAAAGTCGACAAAAAAGAAAAAAAAATGAATTAGCTTCCTCATTCGGCTACTGTGCGCTGAAGAAGCCTGCCAAGGTTACCTTCACGTGCTTGCAAGGCTGTACTAATGTTTACAAATCCATTGCCCGTGTTCGTCGCTTCAGAAAGTGTGAAAAACACGTAAAAGTATGACTTTGTTTAAATAATTTTTTTCCTTGATAACTTTTCAAGAGTTCGTTTTTCCCGACGAATGTTCGTCTAACATGTTTCCTGCATCCTGTTGGTATCATTGAGATCACTAAGATGCACCCTCCCCCCCCCCCCCCTTTTCGCACGCACACACACATACAAAAAGTAGCCTTTGGCCGATCGTGGAATATCTTTGGCGCCCCACACTGATGCAGTCATGTCTGGTTCATACGGATCCCGTTAATATAGATCCCCCGCTATGTAGAGAAGCTTTTCGGGGACGAATTGGGTAAATGCATGCGTTTTAATGCGAAAGCATTAGCTGTCCCATATAGCAGCAAACCAAGCCGTAAGTTCCCATTGGCTGCGACGCGTCATATCAGATGCTTCGTCGCAGAAGTCGGCGGTGCCGCTCAAAGTCAAACCGGACGTGCCTCAGAAATATAATGCAAAGAAAATTACAGCCACGCAACTACATCGTCACAGAAGCCCACCGAGCTTCGGACTCCTGCCGCCGCTTCATCCAGCGGCGCAGCAGTCACCAGCGAGTCAGGGCGGTCTGCGTGGCGCACTGCTGCACTCCCAGCCGGCGCTGTGGCCGCTTCTGCTCCTCTCGGCGCCGAGGAGCATCTTGGCACCTGAAACATCTATATTGGTGGCAGCCACAGCCTCGGCAGTAGCGTAGTGTGGCCGTTCACACTTGTACACCATAGACGAACTAAGGGAGCGGAAGAACGCAGCAAAATGAGCGAAAAGGCAGGCAGCAAAATCCATTATCCTTGCCAAGTCTCCGAATAGAGCGGCGTTCAATTGGGCATTAATTCTTTCGCATTCACAGCTCATAAAAAGTGCTTAGGTGTCGTTGGAATTTTCGTCTTGTTAATATGGACAACTCCCATGGACGATTTTTGGAGGAATAGAGATGTCCCTATGACCAAGATATCACTGTTCAAAGAAGCCTTGTTCTGTCTCTGGTGCACCAAAACAAAAAGAGAGGGTACCAAATCCGTCCACCCAAATACTTTACTAGGGGGAATACATTCCACTACGCTCATTTGCATTAGACAGAACGCCTACAGCGCCGAACCCAGCCCTGACGGAGGGGAGGTCCGCGTCAGTCCACGCGCATGTGCACGTGGATGTCCACAGCGGCCGCGGTGGTGTCGTCTACGATTCCACTTAAAGCCTCTTCATGTTTCAAAAGTAGCGCAAAGTGCATCGATGCACGAGACACGTGCAACCCCTGGGAAAATTGTGGCGGCGCAGCACAGCAAAGTATTTGGCGCAGCACTGAGCTAGATTTTAGACGCCATGTTCTTCCTAGAAGTGGCGCGCGGCCCGTGTCTCGAGCATTTCCACAACAATGAATTTGGTATATAGAACAACCATCATCGTCATCATCATTTACTGCCTGATCGCCAAGACCTCCCCGACAATAGATTGCTCTCACCAACCGCACCGAGGCTATGGTATTTGAGAGGAGTGGAATGTATTCCCCCCAGTAAAGTATTTGGTCCACCACTCAAAGGTTGGCATCATGAACTTGATATGCTCACGCAGTAAATTAAAAAAAAAAAAGTTTTGCAATTTCTATATTAATGAAGGAACGAACACCCCCTGTCAGCATGAATCTGGATGAATGATAATCCAAAAAAACGGGCCTTTTTCATTTTTCTTTTTGTTGGTTGCAACAGCCTGGTCACACCAGACAATGAAACACCGCCTGCGATCGTAACAAACTCTGCCTTCTGGCAGCCGAGCAGCCTTCAGTAGTGCTCACGTGTCCACAAACATCTTTGCCTGTTGCCGGTTTGGTGATTTTCGAGCCTATGACAGCCTGCTAACTAAGTGTAATTGGCAAGTCTACAGGCAGTGTTTCTTACTTGTTGCCCCATCGGACAAGACCAAAAATGCAATAGGGTGAATAACGCTGCTGGCAAACATTCTGGGTTTGCCCTCGAGTAGTGCCAGCACAAAGGTTGTGCGGTGTATCTCAACCAGAAAGCTGCAACAATGAGCACTGACCGACTTGGAAGGTTAAGCATGTTTGTGACTACAGTATAAAACTGAAAGTGGAACATATGGGACAATGCAGATGTCCTTTTTACGATACAATACCGATGTCCCTCTTGTTTTTGTGCACTGAGACATTCATTCTTTTTTCAAAGGCAAGTCACTGTGCATGATATCGTCTGCCGGGCCAAAGGATGTGCACAATGCAGTGTCAGCAGCAAAGTACGCCTTCCAAAGGTGGTCCCAGCTTTCTCACGGTGAACGAGGGAAGCATCTCCTGGCAGTTGCGCAGAAGGTTCGGGTATGTATCTGGCACACTTTCTTCTCGAATGTGGAGTTTCGTGCTAAGGCTTTGCTCAAAGAGTTTATTTCACCGTTATGACGTTGCTTCGAGTGCAGCCAGGTTAAGTTAAGAGCCATTCGCTGCTTTACTCAGATGGCCGATCCTCACTAGAGGTTGCTATATTTGTTGTTTCTAAGCTCTTCTGGAACGGTGCTTGCAGTGCATGCTGGCATAGAATTATCTTGTATGAAAGTCTAGGCGGCTACAGGCAGTCTGTCTTGTGCTCGAGTCTGTACCTTCCTAACTGCGCTAACACAGACGCGAGTCAAATTTGACTGTCTTCCTTTGTAGGTCCACATTTTCCTTAATAACCATTCTTTAAAACTTTCAATTAGCTTTTTACGAGATAAATGTATAACAAAAATCAACTCAGTGTAGTAAAACAAAACCTGCCAGTTGAGATAGGTTTAACTATGAGATCTAACTAAGATGGTTTTCACAATTAAGAATGCTACATTTACTTGTACATTTATTGTTTGTATGAAATGCTGTGGGAACTGCCAGAAATCTGTTAAAATGCCAAGTTTTTCGCGTGTCCCATTTAAATTTAATGTGAATGAGGGGACCTGGTTACAGGAGAGGCAGAAGCAGATATCGGACATGGAGATGATAGACACCGGCAAGCCAATCTGGGAGGCTGTGGCAGACATCAGCGGCTGCGCCGATGTCCTCGAATACTACGGCGGAATCGCCGCCTCCATCAAAGGTGTGGACAAAATAAATGACAAACTGTTTTATTCTGACTAGGATAGAGGATAACACTCGTGCAAAACTGGTATTGCTAGAATGAATAAAGCATGGGCCAAGCAAAGGAGGGTCGATAAACCCGGATTCCGAATCTTATCTGTAAGGGCACCCAGCGCCCCTGAAGCTTGACCAGTGCCGTCCACTCCGAGAGTTTGCTTTATATAAGTGAGCGCTGTACTGGCAGGCACTAGGGAGCCTTTATGTGCTCTTTGCTAGGGTGATGCCACCCTTTGTAACACCACTCGCCGACAAACCAGCAGCCATTTTGGTCCTCGGCGATAATCCGTGGGCTTATAACCCTCCCGGAAACAAGCACCTTATCTCACAAGTTCGGAGCAGCGTTGTGGAACCCACGGAGGGAGGATTAGCATTTCCCCCCTCGGATGGGAAGACCGATGGACACGAAGGCCACTTTCCGGCGCACGGGGAAACAATGAGGAACAAAATGGCGGTGGACGAGGGTGTGGGAAAGGGAAACAGGCAGTTGGCATCACCCTATGCGAAGCGCACATGGAGGCACCCTAGCAGGCACCTTTGTAACCCCTGCTGCATAGTGTATGTTAAATTGTCCAGTTTATACTTTACCTCACACATTGTATTCAGCACTATAAAGCGTTCAGGTGTTCTTTACATGCTCCATTCACTCCTAAGCCGACTGGGTGTTTGAAGCTGCATGCTCGTGGGCCACTCAGTTGCCTTCCTCTCATTGCCTTACCCCACTCTCTGCTTGCGAGTATTTGGCAGAGATGATCTTCTGGTGCAAGACCTACGTACGGTTGAAACGTCCGATGAGCATTGAGCTTCCAGCACCCTATCAGCTTAGCAGCGAAGAGAGTATAACGTCCACAGTTAGGAAAAAGGAGTTTTGTTTTAGTACTCCGGCAAGTGCTCTGGTTTAGTTTTGCTACTCCAGCAAGTGCTCCTTACCTTCCACTGTGCTTTGGCTGCGCGTAAATGTTGGTGCTATTGAGATGTTATCGAAGCTAGGAAAAAACTCCCTGCCGTTCTCATCCTTTGGGTGACTGTAGAAACCCATAAAACAAGGACCCATGCCGGAACAACGTAACTGAAATGATTGTCTCGCGTGCCCAGGCCAGCACTTTGACCTCCCGGGAGGCAGCTTCGCCACTGTGCGCCGCGAACCCCTTGGGGTCGTGGCAGCCATCGGGGCCTGGAACTACCCGTTCCAGGTCATGTCCTGGAAGATGGGCCCGGCCCTGGTGTGCGGCAACACCCTGGTGTTCAAGCCCTCGCCGCTCACTCCCTTCTCGGCCATCTTGCTCGCCGAGGCCTGCAGGGACGCTGGGGTGCCGGACGGTGTCGTGAACGTCGTCCAGGTGTGCGTTGGTGTCTCCCCTGACACGCCGTCTGTGTCTGCTTGGGCTGCAACGGGCATCTAGGGTGTCTTGGTGGGGCATCTGTAATTAAAGTGCCTGGACCGCATATTTGAGCGGTCTGATTAGCGTCTTGCTGTGCCCATGCATCGAAAGTGACCCCAAAGTGCAACAAATGACGTTGCAAAAGATGTAGCTTCGCGCCGTCTGATATCGTGATCCGGGCGTTTGGGCACAGAATTTGTAAAAAAAAGGCACGAGGGAGCTTGAGTGTCACTGTCAGCGTGGAACCCCAGCACCCGGTTGCTAAAGCTTTAGTGGACTGCCAAGCTGGAGAGCAACCTGCAGCAGATCAGATGTCCACCACATCCACCACCGGTGCTGCGACACCGCCAGGATTGCAGCCGGCGACACATCACTCCCATGACGTCATCGGGCAGAATTAGAGTTCCAGGCACACCATACTGTAATGCGTCTTGGACTGGTGTGTTTGCCACGTCTGCATTTGTGGTCCCTCGATTTTCGCCTGACGACGTTGTAGAACCGTCGTGCTGTTGCCTGCCCCGCTCTTGGTGGTGGCACGCCGGCAGACGCTTGTTCTACTGTAGGTTTCTCTTCGGCTTCACAGACCACCAAAACGTCAGCATCCACGAGGTGGGATGTAGCGACGGCAACAACACTTTTGTTCACTCATGCTTTTTGTTTGAATTTCTACGACCAACCCGCGATCGCAATATCCGATGGCATCACGCACCGACTCCCGTGACTTCATTTGTTACCACATCGGGACAACTCTTGGTGCTTGGGCGGTGTTGGATGCCGATCGCAGCAGTTGAAGAAGTGTTTAGGCCCCGTTGTGGTGGTGGCTTGTTGCTTCGTTCAATGTCTCGCTCATTGACTCTGGATGAAGTGGGCACCTTGCAGGCGGTTAATGCAACTCCCTATATGTTTATTCAGTCTTTAGTATGTATCACTAGATCTAAGAACGCCGTCGGCTTTAAATTTAGTGCAAAACCATTCGGAAGCTTCTATTTTTGTACGCAACTTATTCGGACAAACGTGTTCTTCGCTATTTGTGCCATAAACTGCTACCATTTCGCGGCACTTTTTTCTGACCTTACGAACTAGCATTTGAGGCGCCTGTTCGATTCATTTGCACCGCGCCGTGGGCACAGAACTTAGGTAACCACTGTGACCACTGTCCACCGATAGAAGCGTACAGTCACCCTAAATTATTCGGTGTATTCATGTTTTTGTTGCGCAGGGCGAGGGTAGAACGGGCGAGCTGCTTTGCAAGCACCCAGACGTGGCCAAGGTGAGCTTCACCGGCAGCGTGGCCACGGGGCAGCGCATCGCCAAGCTCTGCGTTGACTCCATGAAGCACGTCACCCTCGAGCTGGGTGGGAAGTCCCCTCTGGTCATCTTCAAGGACACCCCCGTGGCAGAGGCCGTCAAGGCCACCCTCATCGGAAACTTTCTCACCCAGGGCGAGGTGCGTGGTGGATGGGGAAAAGGAACGGGGTTGATCCAGCTTCAAATGTGCTCACTACCTATTGTTTTACTTTATGTGGGGGCAAAGCTGAATCTAGAAGCACGAGCATTTGGCCTTGAAACATGCTTGCGTATTACGAGCATGCGTGCTTGGCAGGGACTTTGAAAGCCTAGAGTTTGCTGCTGTTGGTTCTGCTATGTTTGCACTCAAACTGAAACAGAGTATAGCCATAGGGTCGCGCAATTTCTCTACCTCGAGGAAAATCTATCCTTGTTAGTTAATAGTCAAGTGCCTTGACAAAATAATTGGGGTGTGTGTATGTTTATAAAGCCTAGAACTTAGTCTGCCTTAACGGGCGACTTGTCTCCCAGCTGTAGATAAGAAGTTTAGCCAATGCAGTACAACCGCTATCCTGGGGTCTTTAACGTGCACCACGCAGTAGTGATACACGCCGGTACGATGCTCCTCCAGGTCGAAACGGGCAAGGGTGGGGATTCAACCCAGGATCCCTGGGTTCTGCAGCGTGAGCGTTCGCTCCACGTGCTCCGAGCTGGTGTGCGCTAGCCCAGTCGGCCACCGATCCCCTCTAAGTATCTTGACACTAACGCAATAAAGCGTGTCTTGGCACTGGCACAACAAAAGCAGTGCAGAAGGCTACGGGCCTTGTGAACAATAGTACACTTACTAAGGAGCGTTTGGAACATAGCTGCATGAGTCAGGCAGACCTTAGAAGATAAAGCTTAAACAGGGGTAGGGACAACTGAGAAGGTTCAATAGTTGGTGGACCTCCGAGTTTCTAATAACCCTGTTTGAGAGCAGGTGACCTAGCCCAAGTCGGAGTTATGTGAAGAGAGAGTTTACTACGGTCCATCATTAGGTTAAATGGAGGATATGTATGGCTCTGGCCCAAGCTGGACAATCATCATCATCATTGTCTTCTGATCACTCTGCTCCTTGACAGTGACTTATCCACGAAACTCTGTCCAGGTGTGCAGCAACTGCACGAGGGTGTACGTGGAGAAGCCCCTGATGGAGGAGTTCCTGGACCACCTAGTGAGAGCCACCAGGAAGCTGAAGGTGGGCAACCCCGCCGACCCGGACACGATGGTGGGAGCGACCATCAGCCCTGAGCACGCTGCCAGGGTACTGCAGTACGTGGAAGAAGCCAAGAAAGAGGTGCGTGGGGAGAGAGAGCCAGCGCTTCCTAGATTGCACGGTACTGTAAACAACTTAATTTTCACAAAGGCCTGATTTTTGCGAATTCCACGATTCGAAGAACGCCATTGCAAAAAAATCAGTCTCGCGAATATACACTAATTCAACTCTATTATGTCTCGCCACTGTGGTGGCGTGTCGGGCGCACTTCCGGTTTGGGGCTGTGGGCGGGAGTCCTTTTGCGGGGTGGGAATTCCTGCATTGTTTTGGAAGAAACCAGACTAAGCCCTGCGTTCTCGTGAAAACGCCGTGACTGGGGCTGTACCAAAAGAGGCGGGAAAGGTTTGAAGATCAGTTTCTATGTTTCCTGCCTGCTTGAATCGTCCGAGAATGTGGATAGGTAAAAAAAAAAGAAACCAGACACCGTCGGACCTCGATTGCTTGCACGGGAAACAGTTTGAGTTGATTTCATGGATATTTGGGGCCGTCAGATTTATTTGTTTTGTTCCAACATGAACGCAAAAAAACATCGTCGTGCGTTTGAACCACCCGCGGATCACGCTCAGTGGATCTTCACGCTCAGACGGCCATCTGATCGTTCAAACTGTCATCTGCCCTTTCAAACTCGTTCAAATTCTTGTCTACTCATTCAAACGACAGCGGCCATTAGACCAAACATTGCAACAAGAAGTAAGTGCAGACCTCAAAAGACTTCTAAGTTTGAAAGTTGTTTGGGGTAAGTGGGCTCGGTGTAAACGGTAGATACGAGGAGATGTTGATAATTGTTACCAGTGACCATCATCGACCTAATATGCCCGATTCACTGTCTGATTCTGCTTGCAATTTTCAGTATTGACGTCGAGCATTGCAGCTACCGTCCCTGCTTTTGCAGATCGAGCGACTTCGCGACTGACAATAGCGAGCAGAATCACATTATGTGAATCAGGCCCTAGCATCCATTCTATGGCTTTCGCATGGAATGAATCGCCGCATGTCTCATTATTTACACAAAGGTTTGCGGCGTAACAAGCCTCCCTAATTTCACTCGGGCCACTAAAGTAGTTGGACATTGCTAGGAAGACGTAGAATCAACAATTCCAACGCGGAAAATAGCATGGGGATTCACACCGACGCCGATAACATCGCATTCCAACGATTTGTTTATGTGGGACGTGGCACCTTTTGCCCACACCCCATCTTGCATGCGCGGCACCGGCGGTGCTTTACTAGGGGCACTCCGGTTTGTCTGTAAACTTGCGTTGGTGTATATAACTCCTCGGTAGCAAATACATGGAACATCGCTCCAGATAGTAAAATTTTGTGACTGCGAAACATTGTCGCGGATGGAAACGGCTCGATGCTCGTCAACTGAAAACGAAGGGTTAATCGGCGAACTTGCGTAAGAAACAAAAAAAAGAATAAGCGTTGAAACAGCAGCAGTGAACGTCGCAGCGTCGGCGTCACAGCTGGCTTGAGCGAGACTGTGAGAGAAAATGTGCCTCGACAATTACAATTACTTTTGCAAAACTTTGCGGCGTTGACGGAACCTCTCTCAAAGCATCAGCGCCCGCACAAGCGGCCTAGCTCTCGGTGAAACACTCGCACATAACACGCACTCACACACGACAACATAAATAGGGTCGCATTGTTTGCTGTTTTGTTGCTTACACTGCGAGTTGAGAGACAATCTCCTTTGGAGTCTACATCAACGGCGCCATCTCGCGCCGTCTGCAGTGTGAGCAGAAAACAATAGCATAAACATGCCAACATATTGAAAGAAAAAAAATTTAGTTCAGGTTTCAGCCAAGGTTGGGAATTCTAATTGTCTATGAAGTTATTATTCTCTCTTGTTTTGCTAGTTGTTTACGTCCCTCTTCCGGTACTGTCGCATATTTGTATCTGTATTATTTTCAAGTTCATTTCCTGTTGGTCCTACTTCGGATATTACTGGCATAAGCATTTTGGAGACTGACCTCGCACCGGTGAATATTGTCACCAATGGTTCGGGGGCCCCGATTCGGTTCTTATATGTTTCTGAGCCATCATAATTTCAACTCAATGTAAATAATTTACAATACCATGATGTTTGTATGTGAATGCAGTCGTATTAGTGCATGTCGATTTTAGTTTTATATTAACACTTGTAAAATATTCATATATAACTAATTGTCACATTTTTATTTTCCTGGCTAACAAAAATTTGTCAACTCATTTTTTTTTTAGCGGTCTGGTGTCTTCCAGCATATGAACTAGTTTTTATTAAAAATATAAGAATGTAGTACTTCACTGCCCCAAACTGTGAAGTTCTATCATGCATTTAACAAAATTCATAAAAGGAAAGTACAGGGTGTCACAAAAGAAAATTTACACGGTCTTTTTTATCGCAAAAATAAACTAGGCATCGCCGAACGCTCATTCTCCGCCCAAAGGTAGAGCTAGAGGTCACAACCAGATGCCAAAGTTTCAGCCCGAACCGATATTTTATTCGAAAGTTATAAGTGATTTCGTGAAAATTTCAATGGGAAAATGGAGTCCATTTTTGCCCGTTTTCGGTTTCTGGTGCCATAGAGCCCCATGTGTTTAAAACCTCCGTCGGCCGCCATTTTCCCATTAAAATTTTCAGAAAATTACTTATAGCTTTTGATTAAGTTATTGGGTCGGGCTGAAAATTTGTCATCTGGTTGTGACCCCTAGCGCTAAATTTGGGCGGAGAATAAGCGTTTGGCGATGCCTAGTTTATTTTTGCGGTAAAAAAGACCATGTAAATTTTCTTCTGTGACACCCTGTACATTATGTGGCATTTATGCAGTGATGCTTAAGCCTCCTCAAACATTCGGGCAAGGAATGAACAAATAAATATGTTGCATTCTATCAACTCGTTTAAAGTTATGTGGCCCAAGTCGGGTCGCTCTCAGAAATATGTAATTATAAAGTAATTGCATTACTTCTCACGTAGCAGTAATTGTAGTTAAACTTCTTTTGAAGCAAAGTGATTGTAATTGTAATTAAATTACATTACATTTTGGAAGTAATTTACCCATGTATGGCTCGACGCGGCCGCCCGGAAAAAACAAAAAGCCAGCGTGCTCTGCAAACTGGTTTTGCCCCACTGCGACCGCTTGCGTTGGAGGAAAGCCAGATTGCAGAGGAAAACTGCGCTCTTGGCAGTTCGATATACCGGTAGCGGCTGCTATTTTTGTTCGATGTAACAATAGTTTTTGCTATATGTTATTACTGTAACATTACTGTGCACAAAAATTGTTCGATATAAGGGATAATTCAATGTAAACGGGTTCGATATAGTTGGGTTTGACTGTACATAGCAGGGTAGGAACTGGGTATTAGTGCTATCACACCTTAGTTGCTTTTGACACAACATCTAGTGGTTTTTCTCGTCCTCAGGGCGCCAAAGTGCTGTGTGGCGGCGAGAGAGTGACCCTCGACGACCCAAACCTCCACGGGGGCTTCTACCTGAGCCCCTGCGTGGTGACGGAGTGCACGGACACCATGAAGTTGGTGCAGGAGGAGATCTTTGGTGCCGTGGTTGCCGTGCTGCCCTTCGACACTGAGGAAGAGGCCGTCAGCCGGGCTAACAACTCCCCCTTTGGTCTGGCAGCCGGGGTCATGACCAAGTATGGGCCCCCTCGTCACTCACGTGGGAATTAGTGGAACGCAGAGGGGACCATACACCTAGGGTGGCTCCAGCGAATCTTACGCTGTAAACCCAACCGGGGAAATCGACACCTGCTTGTGAAAAACTGAAACTTTCACCACATGTGCTTTGAGGTGGTACCTGTTAGCTGATGAAGTTTTAAAGCATAGCACCCTTAGTTTGAAAATGGAGACTTTCAAACTCATCAGGGTCAACGGCGGACGGATACGCAGACGATCGAGTTGGTAATGCCTGTAACGCGTGGTGCCGTCTCGCGATAGACGCAGCGAGCAGACGACAAAGTGTGTCAGAGTCTGACACACTTGTCACGCATCACGCGTGACAAGCGTCGCTAACTTGGTCATCTGCAAACCTGTCCACCGTTGACCCTGGCGAGTTTGTTGGTTTGATTATTCAGAGAAAGAGCATAGCATGCCTTAAACTTTAATTAGGTAAAATGCACCACCTCAAAGCAAGTTCGGAGGAAGTTTGAGCTGTCCGTGTGTAAGCGACAGTTTTTCTGACTTGTTTTACTGCTTGAAGGGTAACTCCAGTCAATATTTTAAGATTGGGGATTACAACTGTTATCCGCTAAGCAGTGTCCCTGAATTACGAGGTATATTTTTTTTTCTCGATATTGCGTGTAGTTTTTAGGATATCACGACTCAGTTTGGTTTCGGGCGTCTATGGCAAAACTGAAACTATCTGCTAGAGGGATGGCAACACTGATCATCAGCCATATGGCCACGACGTGAGGGCAGAATGGTGCTGTGGCATGTGGTACAACCAATCCACCACAGGTCCACCACGACGTGACTTCAGGAGGGTGCTGCACCAGTGTTCCTTGACTAAAAGCTAACCGATTTGCCGCACGCTAAAGGGCAGCTGGTCGCATCTTTAAAATCTGTTTTAGTCGAGTATGCGGCTTCACTTTGACGTAATATTTCAGCTGCAAACATGTTTCGTCATGGGCATACCAACCGGGGGGGGCAAGGGGGGTGCTTGCCCTCCCAGTTCACAGAAATGGGGGGGGGCAAGGCATGTGTCTTGCCCCCTCTGGAATAGCCGCCACTGGACAGGGCAAACACTGGCCGGCAGTGCCCAAAGGACGCCACTGCCCCCCGGCCCTGGGGGGTGGGGGGGTGTGGTCTGGTTTGCCCCCCCCCTCAAGAACAAGGTGGTACGCCACTGTATTTCGTGCTACTAAAGCGATACCAGTCACTTATTTTCCTTTCGTTTTCGATCGAAGTTGCCCTTCAAGATCCACTGGAGCCACCCTACATAGTAATCCCTTGTTATAACAAAGTCAACGGGATGGCAAAGAAGTTCAATATACAGTTTAACCTCGATTTAGCGAAGTCACCGGGACCCCCTAATTATTTCGTTAAATCGGGAACTTCGTAAAGTCGAGAAAGACATTCTTCGGGATAGGCTCCGCGGGGAATCCGAATTTGTTCGTTAAATCGGGAAACTCGTAAAATCGGGTTTCGTTAAATTGAGGTTCAACTGTAAGCGGTAATTCAATAAAAGCTATAGAGACAAAAAACAGTGCCAGCAGTCTTAAGGTGGACGAGAACACTGCAGAGGACTCCGACTGTATATTTAATCAAACTAACCTCGGTTATGAACATCTCGCGGCAGCTTTACCGAGTAAAAAAAAACAATTAAGTGGAGTTTGCCAATAGTTTCATCCTGTCATCTGTTCTCCTCAAACTGCTCCAGGCATCGCAAGAACACTGTCACGGCCGCTGCACCCCACTTTGTTTCGAAGCAGCCGTAAGATGCTTCGCGTCTTTGCAGTCGTCGGCATTTCTTGAGGTGCCTTTCCAACGTCCCTTCGTGTTTACCCTGGTTGCACGCAAGGTCTACGACCGCAGCATCTGTGGCAGGAGCAATGACGGAAATATCCGCATCGACAAGCGCGATCGAATCAAAGTTATCCTGGGCGGCTTCGTCAACATATTTTCACACATTTCTGTAGAGATTGTTGCGACTCTGGGAATCTGGCGCCGGCTCGGCAAGCATGCTCGAGAGAGAAAATTCGACGTGCGCGAAGCAATTGGCAATTTTTTATCTTTGGATGTCGGGCGCGCTTTCTTCTGCATGCGGAACTTCTCGAAACCATTGAATAAGCCTTGCTTGTTCTGGAAAATAGTGGACAGTGTTGAACAGCCGATGCAGGAATGTCGAATTCTTTGGCGATTTCGGACTTGGGACGGGCCACTTTTCTCAACTTCGCAAATCTAAGCGATTTTTGCTAAACACTCCTAATCTCCCATACAACACACGTGTGCGTGTATACTGCGTTTCACGATAACTTGGCAAACTGTGGAGGCTAAGGCCCCGCGACCCAATAAGAGCGTAGGAGCGAGGCATGTGACCTAACGTCACGGGAGCATTTGTGTCACTACGCCAAATCTGAGTCCCGGAGGAACCGTCTGTCATCTGCTAGACAAGATTCGTCTGCTTCGAAACTAACCAACCTCAGATGTATGTCCACCGCAGCAACATTTCCGTCTGCTAAAATAGCGAGCACTTCAGAAACAGTTCAAAAGACGACCATACTTCAATTTAGCCATGAGTCTGTTACGGGTGCTATTGCCAGGGAACAGTGCAATGTTTTGGGCAGAAACGGCCGATGAGACAGCTGCGATCCCCAACGGCCACGGCGAGGACGAAAAAATCGATGGCGGGTACGGATGTGGCATCACTTTTTTGGTTTAGAAGTAATTGAAACTCATAAATTTGTGATTGTTTATTTTTTATTCTTCATATCTTCTCGTTAGAGATGGAAACTCGCGAGTTCAATTGCCGTTGAAAGAAAAATACGCCTAAAACTACTTTTTGTCGCAGACGACTGTTGCTGTGGCGGTAATGAAGCCCTTGTGGCCTCGACCGTGGAGTGTTATCACGTGCCTTTCTCCCGTGACGCCCCCGACGCCGGAAGCAAGCGCGTCGGGGACTCCCGAAGGGATGATTTTCTCCGGGATCCATCGCTCCCTTGACCCAATTGCGACAGGAGTTGGGCGGCATTGGCCGCGGGTGCCATGAGTAGTATCGCAACATTTGACTCTGTTCCCGCCGTTCCCTGCCCGCGTCCCTGCGTTGGCGCATCGGCATCGGAAGCGGCGCTCTGCCTGCTCTGTACGCTCTGCCCTCCGTCACCCGTTTACTCTGTTTTTCCAGTTTGCCATTGGCCTCGGCGAAGAAGGGGGAGGGAACGCAAGGGTCTCCGTGCTCATCCGTGTAGGCTTGCGTGCTTTCGGCACCGCGGCCTTCGTAATAAGTGTGGTCGGCTGCCGATACGCTTAGAATAATCCGGTTAAAAATGCGTGCCTTTCGGTCGGCACCACATTGTACTTCGATAAAAGCGATGATTTCAAAAAAAGGTTTTTTTATGACGAGAGATTACTGTATTTACTCTAAAGCAGATTGTCTGCTTTATGAAGAGCTGAGCGGCGTTTTCCCGCAGAGAAACCAGAGATCAATCGGTGGGGCTTCCTGGAGGAGCCAAGAGAATGACGAGGCAGAATTCTGTTGGCACGCAATGATTTAGCCTGCTTATCTGTCTTCCAAGTTAACGAGGGATCACTGTTCTAGCATCAGCACCTATTCATTCACTAAAAGGGCATGTACTTTGTGTAGATGGATCACGACGCACAGATTGTTTTTAGTTTCATGCATTATATCTGTCGTGTAAACTCGTAAAACAAAGTCGCTCGTGCAACAAAGACAACATTTTATGGTGTTTCCGCCATGTTTGTTACAAAAGCATTTGACTGCGTGATTTGTAAAGCTGCTCTGCAGCACTAATTTGGATGTTTTCAAAGCCGATTTTAGTCAAACCACATGAACTCTACATGCTTACGTATTGTATCCCAGCATAGCCAGGGGCGGGGATATTGCGTAAAGCTTAGCTATAGCACTAACCATTCTTATTGTTCCGTTTTGCTTATTCGTGCTCTCATGCACCCGTTCCATAATGCTCTCGCATCACATTCTTCAGAGACCCATCTCCCTCAAGGCCTATATTTTGCTTCACATTATAATCCGACGCAGAACATGACTTGCCATTACATTTTTTTGCTAAACAATTTATGTACAATGACAGGAAGTAAATATGGGATGCTTGTACCATCTATTGTTGGAAAAATTCCGGAGCTAACAGGTGCAGTCATTTGAGACAGAAGCAGAAAGATATTCTGCAAAGTGCCTGGCCTACGTCCGCCGCTTCGTAATGACGCGGATCTGTCCCAAACATTGTTCTCTGCAGGGACCTGAGGAGAGCCCACCGGGTGGCATCGAGGCTGCAGGCAGGCATGGTGTGGATCAACAACTACAACGTCTTCCCTCCGGAAGTGCCCTTTGGGGGCTACAAGATGTCCGGCTTTGGCCGAGAGAATGGCCTGGCTGCCCTGCACAGCTATTCCCAGGAGAAGACGGTCTACGTCGAGATGGGAGATGCCATAGACTGCCCCCTCTACAAGCTTTGAGATTAAGGGGAATCCCCGTGCTTTGTTTCCCAGGCATTGCTGGAGCTCCCCTCCACCGGCTTCCAGATCTCTGGTCATTCCGTCCCTCAGGAAAATACTGCCCCGTGGAAGTTCCGTCTGCACTGTTTAACCTAGTCGTCATTGTTTCTTTTAACTGTAGTCTGTAGCACCATAAGACATCTGCAGTAGCAGCTGTGCCTCCAATGCAAGACGCCAAAGCATTATCAAAGATAAGAAGCTTGCGTTGGAATTGGGACAACTGAAGAACCCCCCGGCTGTTCTTATCCTCTCGGTGACCTTCTGTAACACCTTGGCATCCTCCGAGCATGTACGGGCTTAGGAAGACTAAAGTCAACTAGCACATGTCGCAGGTGAAGCTTATCCTGCCAATCTTAGGTGGCCAAAGACTATCTGCTCATTGTTGCCACACCGTGTGTATCGCAGCGAAAGCTTATTTTTGTATTGTGTCGTAATTGAGTAAGAGGCAGCTTTTATGATTGAAGCATGTGCTAAAAATGTTTTTAAGGACAGGATGTAAGAGTGCAAGTGAGCTGGTGTGTACTGAACATTTTGAAGCAATCCAAGACTGAGGAACACGAAAGATGACGCCAAGAGAACCTTTCCTATTCCTCAGCCTCGGGTTACTTCAAAATGTTAAATATTTTTAAGAGCTGTTCATTAAATGTGTGAGTTGTGTTGCTGTTATGAGAAAGGTATCCGAGTTTTAAGCTCAAAGTATACATGTTTGCAAGTACAGCCTCAGGGCGCCGTCGTATTACTCAATTGGGGTGCACTTTGGAGCGTCATAATCAGATTACGATGCCTTGCTAAGGCGTCAAATCGGATTACGACGCGCCAAAGCGCACCCCAAGTGAACAAGATGGCAGCGTCCTGATGCCGTACTTGCAAAAGTGTATAGAGAGAGCAAGTTGGAAAAACTTTTCATATGAAGTCCGAAATGTTCTTTATAATGTTGATGAGCTTGCAAGTAAAATATTTTGTTGCATTCCTGTTTGATCCCAGTCAATTTGTACACATGATCTCTAAATCGTTTCGTCCCCAAACTATTTACAGCCCATGTTAGCTCTTCCTTGAACATTACTATAACAACCGAGCAAAACCATTACTGGATTTTGGGCTATGTATTCAACCAACTTAATTGTAAGCGAATGAGTTTTAAGGCACCCGAAACTTCCTCTCAAAAAAGCTGTCATCTGGATGATAGTCGTAGAACAGCAGTACAAGGCTGGGTCTGCAACACGCAAGTAATTCTGATTAATTAAATATGAGCGATATGAGTCTCGCCTCGTACTTTCACGTCGGGAAGGTGTAAACCTGCAACTTCATTCTGAAACCAATCATTCAGGAGCTAGGGAGCAATTCTCGAGCTGCAGTACCCCAATCGCTTGTATGCCAGTATGGCCTCTACGTATTGCTCTTTTGCTGCTGGCATATGCTCGTCATTTGATCTATGAGCCTTGGTAGTGGAGCCTGCTAAGTGCGGAGCACTCTTGGTGGCAGCCATGTATTGCTTAAGTTACAGGCATCTATGTATACGCAATGCAAACGCAAGGTCAATTTTAAGAAGTAGCTACAGATCACAAGTACAATTATTGGTACCATAACCAGCATGCTGAGTGAGGAGTACCTACTTAACAGATTTATTAACTAACACGCAATCTGAAAGAATCTATGTAAACACCTCATCGTAGAACTCCTCATCTTCCCGGTCGGCCTCCAGCTCCATCAACTTTTCAAACACCTGGTACTCTTCCATGGTAAGGCCGGCGAAGCGGACAAAGTTCTCCACTGGCGTCTTCACAATCTTGTGGAGCGAGGGGTTCTTCGTTATTCTCTCCTTGGGCTTCGGAGTCCTGTACTTGCCACAGCGGAGGAGAAATTGGTGCCTCGTCTTGATGTGAAGCAAACTGTAAGCCAGAATGTCGCCCTTGGCTACCTCCCCCTGGCTTATGCCCATGGTATGCACGATGTAGTTGATCTTGGCCATGATGGAGTCCCAGTCGTCCGTGTAGGCGTCGGGACACTCTGCGAGCAGTCGGAAAATGTCCTTTTGAGGGAAGATTGTGAAGAGTTGCGCCTTCCTTTCTTCGACTGCGGACGGCTTTAGGTAGAGTAGGTCAGGAACCGAGGCGATGACGTCGAAGAACGCGTCCTCTTTCAAGAACAGGGATCGCCAGTAGGCTAGGATGTCGCTCAGCGAATCGCTCAACTCGACGATGCGGGGAGCTCCCGTAATCACGTTGACGATCGCGGAGTCGTGGAAGCCGTTTTGATGCAGGGTACTTATCACGCGTTCGAACGAGCGTCCCGAAGTATGCTCAAAATGGGGTATCTCCTTGACAACGTCGCGTTTCACCCGCGATACTACAGAAGTGAGCGTGTCGGCGTCGTTGTGTTGCTTGTCCTGTGGCGTCGATGTTTCGGCAGCGGTTGCGTAGTTCTTTGCGAAGGAATGGCTCGTCGCAATCACCCTGAGGTTTCTAGACTTGTAGACTGTTCTTACACCAAGCTGTATTGCACGCTTCATTGTTCACTAAACGTGAGAAAATCGGGAAACCATCCCCGACCCTACACGTTCCGGAGTAAACTTTGCACGCACGCCACACGCGCACCACACGCTGGACAAATAAATACATCTAAACAATTTGATTTGGGCGGCCGTGTGCGCTACCTACCAGGTGTTTTAAAATTTAGTTTGTTAAGCCGTTAGGTGGCACCATCTATGAGCGAACATCTCAAACATTCCAAAAGAACGCTGAGAGTAGTTACTGAAGCTGTATTTATCTTCTACTTAACCTTATTTAGTTATAATATTTAGGTTAAACGAATAATCTAAGATCTATTAGTGAATAGAGATTGTTTAAAACACTTCGTTCTGATTGGTCCAAAGTAAGAAACCTGCGCTCGCGGGCGCATGCGCACTTTAATTCCCGTTTTGAAGAGAGCCGAGCGGGCGCGTCTGCGAAGAGAAGATGCGTTCTTCGTAGCGCCGCGACCGAAATCAGCATGCGAGCTGCGCAGGATCGAATGGATGCCTTGTTTCGCGACACACCTGACCAACAAGCCGTGATCCGGATCAGCGCCGTGCGTCGTCCTTCCTGGTGAATGTGTGGTGCGTGCTCCGACGTCCGCTGAGTTTGTCGCTCGGGTGAACACCTCCCTGTGCTCGCGCGTGCGTCCTTTCGAAGAGGCGAAGCGGCCCGCCGGATCCGGCCGTCATGGGTATCGGCGCCAGTACCCCGCGCAAGGATCCGCCCAGAACGACCATGCCCAAACTTCACACTGTGGATAACCCAAAGTTGCCCATGCCCGAACAGCCGGAGCTGGAACTACGTTTCGCCAAAGTACTGGTAAGACTGTCATTTCCGTTGGCGGTCCGCCGCGCCAGACAGCGCGCTTTGCTCCGCAAATTTTTCTATTGTCCGAAGCTTGTTGTGGTCGAGGGGGGCCTTTTTTTTTTTTTCGACGCGGTGTGGGTGTGTGCTCGAGTTTGGAATCGTCGCCAGCGGTCCCAAAGTGTCTCCAAACTTCGCGAAAGTTGGCCATGGGTACTGTTCCGCTCGAGACCGAATAGGCCGTGTCACGCTGCCGTGTCATCGTCTGCGGTTTTGCGGAAAGTTGACTGGGAACAACCACAGCTGGTCGGGGCGGATGCGTTTTCGCGCTGGGCGCTGCTCCCAACTCCAACTGTTGCATACCGCTTCTTTCTTTCCTTTTTTTTTCTTCTTTTTCTTTCAGTTCGCTGGTTGTTTAAGTTAAGGGGGGGGGGGGGGGGGGGGATTGAGATTTTATTGTTTCAGCTGTTTCTTTTGATGCATATAACTTCTAGTTCGATGATCTCGGAGTGTTCGGGGGAGGCAGCTCTTCGTTCGAACACGCTGACGTGCGTCATAGTCGCCGGAAACTGCTCATTTCACCTCTTCGGCGCTTCGTTTCCACACATCGCTCACACGCTTGGTTGTCCCAACAATTTAAACTGCAACGTGGGAACCTCTTGGAAACGGTATGTAGTTTAAACTTGAGGAAGAAAACGAGAAAGGACGGACAAACACAAACTTCCATGGAAGTTTGTGTTTGTCCGTCCTTTCTCGTTTTCTTCCTCAAGTTTAACTATCCATACCAACCCGCTCGTTCTGTCCCTACGGTATGTAGTTTACTCGGAAAAATTAATGAAAAAAAAGTGATTACGAAAAAGTTATTTGTGGAGCGGCGGATTCTTTAAATGCCAGGATAAGATTGTCGGCCGTTGCCCCGTCTTTTTCTCTTTTTTTTTTTTTTTAATCAGTTGAGCGCGTGCATTGTGGCATGTCCGCCCACCCTACGATTATTAATCGGGATAACGGACACTGCCAAGTTCAACGTATTTACTCGTTCTCTTTATTTAGTGCATAGTTTATCACGTGCCCCATTTCCCGGTGGATCTTTAATGTCGAAGTTGCAAGACCCTCTTTAAAAAAGGAAAAACGTAGGAAAACAAAAAAAGTTCAACAAATACGCCTTTTCCCTCTTTCCCTCCTCTACCCTTCTCTCTTCAATGTCAAGGTCGCCGCGTGTTTTCCTTGTCACCCGGTTTTGTTCGCGGATTAGGCTCGTTAAACTGGTTATCGATTGCCTTATGTCATTATGTTTACTTTAAATACTATCTTTGAGCAGCGTAATGCACAGCTTCTTAGCGCTTAAACTTCTGTAGCCGCTCATTGCGGATCGGCGAGCGACTAAAACAAAATGCTGTGTCTTTTCTTTTTTTCTTTCCCCTCTTGGTTTTTAGTAGGGCTGGGCAAATGATCGATTAACCTACCGATTAATCGATTAATGCTTTAATCGCGATTAAATTTTTTAACTGGTTAATCGGTAATATTTAGACGAACCAAAAAGAAACTCAAAATTAAACGCTTCCATAACGCAGACGTGGACGAATACGCCTGTACGAAGGGTGACCTTTAGGTCAAATTTTAGAACAAGGTAAACTGTACAGGGGCAATATTTTTATAGCATCCGATTAAGTACAGAGGTTACGCATGTCCCCGGCCATTTCAACGTAGTTCGAGTGTCTGTTTAGCGCAGTAGAGATTATTGTGAACAATGAAAGGAAGCCGCTCTTTCTAGAGAATATCAACGAACATCTTTGCCTCACGCGGCAAAAGTAATATTTAGCGAAAGGTCTCTGATACTCTTCTTAACTACATATCGAGATTAATTCATAATCTAAGTTGTACATTGCACCGTTTATCACAGATTCAGCAAAAAAAAAAGACTTTTTTTATATTTTGCAATGAAATAAACGAGACCGATTAATCGATTAATTAATCGATTAAAGGGTGGCGATTAATCGGGTTAAAACTCTTAATCGACGCCCAGCCCTAGTTTTTAGTTTGTTTTTCCGCTGACGCAAAAAGGGTGTGACGTAGCGCCGCCGCTTGCCGTTGGAGGAAGATATTCGGGGACCGTATAACAAAGCGAGTGAAAGTCTGACCAAGAGAGCGTGCTGCTTGCTGCTGACTGGTCTTCGTGTTCGTCGGCTGGTTGTTTCTCAGGAACGCCGGCCTATCATAACCGCTTCTGCACGCTTCTGCTCCAAGGGGGATTACTGTCTCCTCGAAATTCCTCTTCCATTTGGCTTTTGGTCTTGTTTCTTGTAATCGGCCGTAGCGCGTACGCCTGGCAACGGGATTGCGCAATCGCTATTTTCTAATTACAGATTCGCCGGATTCGTTTTACCTGTCTCCAGCGAGGCTTGTATGGGCGCTCTCCTCTCATCTTCCTTTTTTCAAATGTATCTTTAACGCTGTGATTTACGTGTTCGCCTTTTTTTTTTTTTTCCTTTCTCTTATATAGTTCCGTTTTTAAACTTTAATTTTTTTTTTTTTTTTTGGCTGGATGCGTGTAGTTGACGCTTTCAATCAGACGTAGGAAGATTTCTTTCGAGTCGCAAAACGGAGCGTCGCCTGGGGGTATAGAAAAGTCGACAGAAGCGTAAACATCATTAGCAGTGGGGTACTCGATGTTTTCTCGCTTTTGTGTTTGTATATAATGTACCGTGGATCCATTTGTGTGAGAGCTTTCGTGTGCGCGCAGTTGTTGGATTGTGTTCCTCCTAGGCTGTCGTAGACTTTGACGGCTTTTAGATTCGTGCGACGGAAAAGATTCGGAAAGATAACAATATGTGTGCGTGTGTCATGAAAAAAAAAAAAAAAAAAAGCAGGATTGTAAACAGAGACGCCGCCCACAGGGATCGATACTGGATCAAAGAGTCGCTATTGAAAAAGGAACAACGTGAAACCTCTAAAGAGAGGGGGAAGCAAAAAGTAGAGTGCTCATTAAACAAGCTCGAAAAGTGGCGAATCGTTTGTTTATTTTTTTTTTTTTTCGTGTGCCTTCGTTTGAATTGTTTTCGCCGAAACTGGATTTCTTTTTTATACTTTTCATCTGTGCGGTTTTCGGTACAATTTTAGTTGTAGTGTTTCTTCGCCCTGTTCGTTTTAACGCGAAAACTTGTGTTTCCTGGTGGTTTTCCAGTACGTAATAAGAGCGTTTATCGAGTGTGTTACGGGGTTATAATTTGCATGCCGCTGCGTAAGAACACATTCACGAGACAAATACCGTATTTTCCGGGCTATAGTCCGCGCGGACGATACATGTTTAAAAGTAGAAATTTTTTGGCTGTGCGAACTGTACAGGAATTTTATTTTTCAAGGTCGTTCGTTTCGACCAGACGTGACAGATTTTGTGAATGAGAGAGTATGTAAATGGTGTCTATAGTGTAATACAAGCTTCTTTGTGAGCTAAGAAGGCAGACGTTTGTCAAGTTGTGGCGTAGTATGAGAACATTTTCTTGTCGACGAAGCATAAAGTGCGCACTATCTAAGCAAAAACTTTTATTTTTGACAAAAACTTTGCCCCTGCGGACTATACACCGGGTGCGGACTGTAGCCCGGAAAATACCGTACTCTCTTATATTACATATTTTTTCCGCGATTTTCGTATAACATTAAACTAAAAGCAAAAGAACGAAGGGAAAAAGGGATTAAAAATACCTGTTTTACCAATTCAGGTTTGAAATTTTCTTCCACACGGCTGACTGCACGCCGTATTTACTAAGCAGAAAACACACACACGTCCACGCTCTTTTTTTTTTTTTTTTAGAATACTAATATTTATTTCAATTGTAATTACGCGCGTGCACTCTGCTTAGCAATGTGTAATCTAATGGTTAATTGATGTACGGAGTCGGCTTTCTCGACGTTTCACGCTTGGGCCTAGGGTTGCCAAGATCCCGAAGTGCCGTGTTATTTTCCTTGTAACAAACAAACAATTTTTTTTTTTGTTTTTTGCGCATGCGATGGATTGCTGCGGATGCTACGACCAGCCAATCCAGCGCTGGCATCACGTGAGCTTGCAGCGCTCCTTCCCGATGGTCATGTGACAGTCAGACGGCACCGGATTGGTTAGGACGGCTCGTAGTGTCCTCTGCGGTACGATGAGGCGGACCACAGGGGTGGCGCTTTGTTCGCTTTCGACTCGGCTTTTGATGGTGATGGCCCGCGTGGCAACTGAGATCCGCCCTTTTTTCTGCTCGTCGTAATGCCCGACTGATGGTCTCGTCCTGCTCTGAGGACCAGCTTTGCAGTTGACCTGGAAAACTGGTGTTTCAGTTTTTGCAACGAGATTATACCTTCTCCCTTGTTTGATTCGTCGTTTGTTCGCAGTCTCGATCGCTGCCTTTGTCCCGTTTTATTTTTAGTAAACGTTGGATTGCTCTCTGGACTATCATGTCGGTTCAAGAGACGACCGTTTGATGCTGCATCTTGTCCTTATTGTGTGTACGAGGTCCATCGGTGGTTCTTGTTTCCATGGGACGTCTTATACTGGATCATCCGCGGTTCCTGGAATGGCTTCTGCGGGTAGATTAGGTTACGGATCACACTGAGTCAGGTTACACCACATAACGAGTAAAAAATTGGCAGCGACCTGTATCTGCAAAGTTCTCCAATGCGAGGAATCGTTTAAATGTGCCTAGAATAAAAATATAGATGTTTTAGGGATTGAGGGGAAACATTATGTTTATTAATAGATATATTCCACATCATCTACTACGGTTAGTATAGCCGTGTTGTAACTGTACGAAGACACGAGGGCCTTCACCCTAGCCGGTGCACGTAAAAAAGTCCCTCAGCTGGCGCAGAGGTCATCGGGCTGTACCTCAAAAGGTTCTGGGTTCGATTCCTGGTGGAAATGAGCGTATATATTGGTGTAAGTTTGAATAAGTGCTTGCAATAAGTGCTTGCAACATAAGCAGCACATAGTTCTGCTTATGTTGTCACAGTAACCAGACCGGTTGCGCTGACATGTC